GAGGCGAATTCGAGCGGTCGAGCGTGGCGGGAAATTTGAAAAATATATATACACATTTTTCCGCAATACGTGCTTCGTAATGGGGACAACGACGCATAGGGAATTTTCCGTGAGGTTGGCAACTCTCGGGAGGATTTCATGGGGGAAAACAAAAAATAGACCACATAACCGCAGAGAATGACGTCTGGCAGGTATGCTGGTCGTCGCGCACCTGTTCCTTTGACTTCGAGTCGACGTCGACTTCCCCATTCTGGGCTGACAGCTTCTCGATTCAGCCGCTGGTAAAAGCATGAAAAGAGCGCCGAGCGCAGATGGAGAATTACAAACTGAACGAAGAAGACGAAGAAAGCAGACGCGAGGGACAGGGGAGACAGGAAACAAGGGAGTGGATGGACGTAGAAGAAATAAGCCCAAAGCCTCTAAACGAAAACTTGACGTTTTATCCTAATTCTCAAAGTCTCGAGCTTCGTTCGCAGCTTTGAAAAAAAAAAAAAAAAAAAAAAAAAAAAAACAAAAAAAGAGGGACAGGGGAGACAGGAAACAAGGGAGTGGATGGACGTAGAAGAAATAAGCCCAAAGCCTCTAAACGAAAACTTGACGTTTTATCCTAATTCTCAAAGTCTCGAGCTTCGTTCGCAGCTTTAAAAAAAAAAAAAAAAAAAAAAAACTACACCAAAAAAATTTTTCCAATATACAAATCCCCCGAAAATCAATTTTCTCAAAGAAAAAATGCAGTGAAAAAAAATTACTGGAAAAAATTTCTAGGTTAAAAAAAATTACTATAAAACTCCCCAGGGCCACTATCTGCCCGCTGGTATTACCCAACATGGCGATATCCCGTAGTAGCAATAACGAGAGAAGAGGACACGAGAAATAAGACGAGATGATAAAAAGGAAGAATAAAAAGAGAGAGAGAGAGAGGGGTGGGGAGACAAAGATCCTCAAGAATGACGAGGAAGATGAGAAAGGTCTGACAAGGACGAGTATACTCACGGAGATGCTTACCTGAAGGTGCATTGTTGAGCATTGACCCAACATGGCACATGGCCGAACAAGATGAAATCTTTTTCTAAAGGACAGCTGCCCCATTCCTAGAATAACTACACGAGATGATACGTATCCCGTATCCCCTCCATTAATCGGACGATTCCCAGCGAAAAATTTTACTTCACGAAATTCACACGTTAAAGTTCCCCATAAAGCTTTGTTATCAGCGCGCGCGAAATACAGCGCGTACAGCAACGATAAGCCATATCGGCTGTATTCCGGATAATTAAATATATAAAATTATCCGTATCGATTACGCACGACCTAGCAGCGTACACGATAGATGACGAGTCAATGATTGACATCTGTCAACTTGGTTGATCGAAATTAAGGATGCTTGACCCCCAAAAATGTATCTTCGTTATTGCGTTAAACGAATCCAGGCATTGTATATGTATATTCACATGTACTAAGTATATGTCATATAGTCTGTAGAAGATGAACAATATTGTGCATGTCCAGAAATTTCGGCAAAAAATACGTTAAATTGAAAAAAAATGACTAGGATAATAAAAATTAGCAATTTTTTTTTTTTCACGAACAAATGTCCTTTTACCAGCCACGTGAACAGATGCTGGAATCGTGTCTCTCTAAAGGTCGTTGTAACTCGCGCTATGCACCGTGTTAACCGGCCGTTTCACAATCGTGCACGCTTATACAGCTACCAGGCGTTCTTAGCCTTATTACAATATAACAGTAACACGACGTGTTGCCTGACACTCGCTTGCTTATACAGATGACAGTTCCGATGGTAATGTAGGAGACGGATCCCGCGTAATGCCTATTGCAATGGGAGTAGGGTTCGACCAATAGCATAAGAGGGCGGGAAAAGCTCGAGAATTCAAAAATAAAAATTCCATTAAAATTTTGAATTCTTACGACACAAGTATCAACGACCCCTTGGGAGAACAGAATAAATTATTTCTTAGAGTCAAAATTTATTTTGAACATTTCCGTATGCCAGATATAATATATCTATCCGGGTATATTATACCCAGTGGCGGAATTTAGGAAAAAAAGTTTTCTTGTTACGTAACGGATGATTAAAAAAAATTTTCTATTTCCTCGACTCGACGGTAATCGATATCAGCTGGACCAAATTTCGATCTATTTTCTTATAATCGATTTTTTCTTTTTAACGATATAAATATTTACCATTCGTATAAGTCAAATGATATTTTCCCAGCGTGATTAACCGTCGCGTAATCGATATTCTGATAACGAATTATCTGATTGGAGGAATGTGTTGCGTGATTAACGGCCATATGAGAGAGGTTACGTCATCAATATATATATATATATGTATATAGTTCATTGATAAATCTCTAAAGAGCCAAATTGCTGCTCGTTATCAATATTAATTATTCCCAATAAATCTAAATATATTTATCCCTCCTATATGCATATACACAGGAAACGTAAAACAGCATTGCCCTTTATCGTCGATCTATTTAACGTAGCCATTAATTAACAAGGGCATTTACTTAATTGTCAGAGGATAAATTGACACCGGGTATATAGATCGTTGAGAAATCCAGTCCTGATTAATCGATAATTCCCTTTGCGTGACTTACTAATTATTAATTCGACTATGAGTTCACGTTCGATCGGCATATGAAAATAATAATTTCAGCCTGAAAACTGGACAAGATTCATTCGTGAATGGCGAGCGAACCGGTTTTCGTCATTAAAAAATCAGTTTGGATAATAAATTTCACCATTTTGAATAACCATACAAATTATTGAAATCGGGCTACAATTTTCCTTCCTAATAGATTACACGTGCCGAACCTCCCATTGATCACGCATCTACATAAAATTTATCAAAATTTTTCAAATATCAAAAATCGCCCGCGTAATGATTTATCGAATAATTTTATCGAATCATCGACACAAAGTTATTAATTGCTCGCGCGTAAAGATACACAGGGTATATTAATCCTGATATTGAAAATAGTTGAGAATAACATTAAGAAAGTAAACGGCGAAAGACGAGCGGAGATTAAACATGGCGACTGGACAGAAATTTTTCGCCATCGGGAATTTTGAAAAAAAAAAAAAAAAAAAAATCACGCACGCGTACCACGGTCCGATGACTTCCAAGGTAAGTCGGCCTAGAGTAATAAATTGTAACGCACGAATAAATCCTGGATATTTGCCCGGTTATAAAAAATTTTTTGCAAATTTACATAAAAGCTGTATAATTGATATTTTCAAAAAAAAAAAAATTACACAAACCCAAGTATCGTCGTTTCGTCAGAGATATCGAATGCTATGAAGAAAATAGGCGTTACAGAAAAAAAAAAATCAAAAAATATTTTCTCGTCCGAGATATTAGTCACGGTACGTCTGGTCACGTGAGATATTGTCGATTGTTTTTTTTTTTTGTTTAATTCCGACGCCGCTGCCCCCCTCCAATAATCCTTTCGTTCGCTGGTTAGCCGACCGGCGCCATTAGCATATTCAAATTTACAAGCTTATTACACGGCGAACCGCTTGTCTATTCGTGCATCGGTCTTGTCCTCAGTCGACTAACCTCAAATTTATTTCTAGCCTACGAGAAGAAACCATTCGACACGTTTCCCGGGAGATGGCGAGCGTCTGATTCTTCGCCAGGAGGCTCAATACTAAAAGTTATGAGGGGTAGACGGTAAATAGGGTAGGGAATGATTTCTCTCCGCCGCCTATTCGGCAAATACTGACGTCACGTGTTCAGGCCATTGCGAGTGCGAAAGAAATATCTTAGAAAAAAAAATATATATATATATATATATCAATCTATAACCGTGGACCTTGTGGGTTTTGACAATTTTCGGGAAAACGAAAATAAGCAAGGGAAAAAAAATATAGCGTAATCCATAGAAATACAAATTTCATTTCAGCCAAGAAATATAGGTCTTTCGTTCAATGGCCGCATACGGCTACCCCCTATACACAATCGAATAGATATATTCAATACATTGGATATAAGCACAGAGTGATATATCGTGTATCACGCATGGCTATTGTATACAGGGTGACGTCCGAAAAAGCATTGTGCTCGATTAACCATGCAAATTAATTTTGAATAACGTTACGCTCAGCCACGCGCAAGCAAAATGTCAATTTTGCCGAAGAACCAAGGCGGGAAAATTCGCGTCGATTTGAAAATCGATATGGGCGAATGACGGGGAAAAAAAAAGAAAAAAAAAGCCTTGACATTTTCGGGAGAAAAAATATTCGAGAAAAAAAAAAGTGTGTTTCGTAGTGGAAACGCCAGAGCGCGCCACTTGAAATTTTCCATTGTCGCCCTAGACTCTTTCAGCCAGCCTCTCTTTAAGTTCCCTCTCGTACCGTCTTAATTGGAAAGATCCGATGACTTTTGCTTTAATTAAATTTACGGGCAAACCTTAACGTCCCCACGTATTTTTTTTCTTTCTTTACTCAAACAATTCGAATGTCCTTGATATTTTCATCGGCGCTCCCGACTCTTTTCACTCGTCTGAAGTTGGCGACAAGCACGGGTCACGTTATACGCGCTCCGGATCTGCTATTCGCAGTGTCGCCCTCTGGCGCTTCCTTCGCCAATAGTTTTCTTTAACGAAGACACGAAGTGAGCGCAAGACGCGTTACTGTTATTGTTATTGCCGACTATCGCCGTACTTCAAGTAGTTATACGAGCATCAATTATTTTCAAATGGGATTCAATTGTCTCTAACGTCTCGTCGGTAATTTTCACTGATATCCAATAATCAAATTCAACGTGCACCGTTTTTCTGCGCGACGGTTAATTCGCTTGACGATTAATTTAATCGAATGTAAACAAAAAAAAAAAAATTTTTTTGAAAACGAATTTACAAGACCGGATCGAGCGAGGATTTATGATTGAAGGAGAGTACTCGAGAGATGAGACACGAGATTGCGAGTGGCTGAGAGAAATAATAAAAGGAACAATGGCGCCTGTGTAAGTCTACCTGAGACGTTGCAGCAGCCCGTGGAAAAAAATGGCGATGCTTTGGAATTCCACAAGGTATGCTAGTCCATCGAGGCACGCGGCACCATGGGCATCCTTTTGTCCACGGTGTTAACAGGACACCCTGTATGCGATTTTCAGATAGAACGGCTGCCCGGTAGAGATTGCTCCAACGTACCGGAAATGGGCTGTAAAGAGAAAAAACGAGAAAAATTAACTATGAGACTTTTAAGTCGAAAAAAAAAATTTACCAATATTTTTACAAAATTATGAATTTCTAGTAAGATAAAATTTTTCAAATTTTCTCCCGGTTTAGGATCCGTTTCAAGTCCGTAGAAAATACTTCGTAAATTCGTGAAGCAGCGCTATCGATACGAAGCATACAGGAAGACGTAAATCATGAGAATGACTAAGGATACAATGAAATCCAAAGGAATTTACTTTTCTTTTAGCAGGCCCGAAATTTTCTCATTTCATTAATTAAATCGAGAATCACCGTCAAATCTCTTTTGGCCGTTTCACGAAGTGGCCATCTCGTTAAAGCGTCCACTTCATTAGCGATCCCACGCAATAATGTTATTAATTAAACAGGCACGGCCATTTTTATTTCGTAATTGGCCACTCACATAAAAAAAAAGCACACGTATACAATATGGACCATCGAAAAATTTGAGGAAAAAGAATCTTTGACATTTTTTGAAAAATTTCAATCACCACGTTTTTCCAGAATTCATAAAAAAAAAACCAGCTCGTAGTTGACGCAGAGGATCAATGACAAGCAAAAGTAAAAAAATCCAAATTTTATCGAGTCAAAAAAATTCGTTAAATAATCCAAGATCAAAGTCTTTCCCAACGAAATGAAGTACTCGAAATAACGGAGTTGCGCATATCCGCTGTAAAAGCCCTTTGTGCTCGAAAAATTTGAAAAAAAAAAAAAATTTCAAACAAACGCAAAATTTGTTTCGCACATAAGAAACTCGTTAGCACGAAGTCGTCTAGTTGGAAACGGGATAAATTGAGACGTCGCGAAAACGGGCTTAATGCCATGATTAATGAGCAGTCGTTAGTCATCCCAGAAATTTGTCAGACTTCTGTCCGACAATTTCAAGACCGACACACGAAAAAGACTAGTCTTATTTCCTTCCGTGACACGGAATCAAAAGCCAAGAACATGACAATTCATCATTCGTGAACGATACTGAAATTACTGAAATAATTCGCAGGAATAAAAACGCATAGATATTGACGTGACAATTTTTACGCCATGAAAAACCATAGGGGACGTCATAGGGTACCGAAGGACAATAGGTAGAGGGGGCACCATACGAAGCGCCACGGGCGGTCATGAGTCGAGTTACGGTCCTGAGAATGTTTAACTGGAATCTAACACCTAAGGTGACGTAATGTCATTTAAATCTGACCATAGGGACAATGCGTGTCGGTTAAATGTCTTGAAAGAAGTATAAGACAGTCAGAGGTCAGACTCTACTTAAATTGCTTTCCGTTAACCTTTTCGTCACCTTATTTCACATTTTCTCTTGAGCTTTCCGACGTGACTCGACATTGGTTTCGTGAAAAAAAAATTTTTTTATCAAATATATTTCCGTGAAATTAAAAAATGGATCAAAGCTGGTTGAGATAATTTTAAAAAATTTTATGTTTTAATTAAAATAAAAATGTTTCCATGCAAATTTCGTACTACGGCAACACGACGTACCGCTGACCATTCGGCCAGACGTCTTGTCGGTTTTCCATCCTTTTTGCTTTTATACTGCCAACTCGAGTCTGCGGTGCTTCTGAAATGGACGCCGTGGGATCGGTGTTCTCTGTACGAATAGCGAATGTCGTTCGCGGTGCGTTACGAATTTTGTATCGTTAAAAAAAAATGGTCCCTGGGTCATTTAAAAAATAATTTCAACGAGCGAATCTCCGAGCGAGTCGCGTTCTTTAAAATTCACATATTCCCGCTAAAATGTACCTACGTGTCGCGACTCTCGATGCAAACATTTGTGACAACGGTTTGCAATCCAGAAAACTATAGCAAAATATAATCCCTCGATTCGTATGCTTCTTTCTTCGTTCCATTGGCTGTCAGTGACGATGGGCTAAGCGAGACTCGTTAACTTCGTTATTTGGCCACCAAGAGCGCCACCATCGCCATCCATACCATTTTTGCCCCTTCAATTTTAATAATAAAAAAAAACAACTTCAGTTTTCGTATCTTGCTCAACCGACAATCCCGTCGCTTCCGACTTCCTCACAAAGTCCACAGCTGTCACGCGCTGCCGAGACTCCCGCAATGATTTATATACAATAAACGAGAACGGGAGATGCAGGAAAAACATTGAATGATACGATTTTTCTTTTTTTACAATTTTCCATCATTTTCGTGACACGAAATCATACGAATTGACGAAGGCATTGATTTTTTCAAAAATAAACTTAAATATCACGTATATCATAATGAAATTGGGATTAACGTAATATAATTTTATTACCAATTTCAATTTTATCGTGCATTTTCTCAAAATCGAGTAAATGGCTTTGGGTCCATCTGGGTCAACGTAAATTTTCTACGAGATTATATTAAATCCGTAAATTAATTAATGTACGCTGCACTTCTCCAATTAATCCCACCCAGAGTGCATCTTTTTATTGAATTAATTTCAACTTCTATGCATTCTGTGTGTTTCCTTTGGCCTGCATTGTAATTATCAAATAGAAAAGGTAGAGGATAAAATTCGTATATAATTATTAAAAAATAAAATTTCATTTAAAAATAATCATCCAGTCAGCCACAACAATTTATTTTTTTAATATAGTTACTCCTGGGCTCCAGCAGGGATGCTGGGACGAATAATTATCATAATCCATTGCAAATGCAATTATCTACAGTATGGTCCTGTTTCTCAAACAAAATCTAATTTTTGCCAATACCCTAACCAGATGCTGTCACTATATTAATTTAAGAGGAAGCCTCCTCAGCCATATCGTATATTAACCTTGAGGCAAGATGAGAATCTCGCAGAGGCGTGAAATGAGTGATTGGCTCATTTTAATTAATTATCCAGACGATACTGTTCGGTATATTTATCAACTAGTAATTTTTATTCATTGACTTTGACTCAGCCACAGATGTTTCTCTAGAAACTTGTCTAGACGAAAAACAAAAAATCATACTGAATGACATATCGATGCATTTGCAATTAGAACCATGTTCCCGTATTCTAAAATAATTTTCGCCAATTATGCTTTGCGATTTTTTGCAAGACGCCACGCGATATAAAAACATTGCAGATTTTCAAGACTAAATGGAATTTCCGATTGTGCTGAAAATTTCGCGTTAATGAAGTTTAGCAAGAATTATCGAGCTAGTGAGAGTCTTTATTTTTATTTAATAAAACAAAAAATGGAATGGTGTGAAGAGAAATAGCTGTCGTAAAAAATCGCACAATTTCTGCCGGGGGGACTGAATATTTTTTTTTTCCCCTTACCGAAAGCAACTCTATAAAGAATGGAAAGTCCTCGCGGGATGAGAATTCCAACGATATTTTAAGCGTCCATAAGGGCAGCTCTGCGGTTCATCTATTTGATCTTTCCGCTTGTAAGAACGTCTATATTATAAGGCAAAATTTATATTTCGTATTTTATATGTTACAAAAATTAAAATAAATCTTCGTATACGTTTATATATGTCTCGTACCTGTCATTATAGCTAGATTAAAGCCGAGCTATATCGAAGTCCATTATTTATATAAATTTCCTTCATTCCAATCACGCCTATGCCATTATTATGTTTACAGCCACTATTACGTTTACACAATATACTTATAACGATTAAATCACAATCTCAACCGGCCAAAGATATCTCCAAGAGAACCAGAGCTTCAGAAAATAATTTATAATAATCCGAAACGATAAGCAATAAATACAATAATATTCGACAAACTCCGTGACAGTATCACAAAAAAACAGTCATTATCATTTTCAAAGTTTCATTGACGCAATGCAGAGTGACAAGAAAAATTAAATTCACCCCCACAACGATACTGCGATCGATCGTAATAAAGAAATATATGAAGTTCCGAATAAATAAATCTTACAAATCCTAAAGTCTCTCTCAAACCAACTACGCTTGAAGTGAACAAAAAAAAGCTTCTTAAAACTATACTTCTTAAAAGCAAGTACTCACTACACGATGCTCTCAATCGGCCGATCCTCGTCGTGCACTGTCACAGTCACACACGCGCGAAAACTCCAACAAATCGAGCCTACCCGAGACGCGGATACGTGCAAGAAGTTTGCAAAGTTTCGCGAACGGGTATAAAACAACACGTGGACCCGCTCGAAACACGAACTTCGTAAAACAACGATACGACCCCGAGAGCGGTCGCAGCGAGACTGAACTTCCTTGAACGAGGCCGATTGTCGTCCAGGCTGGAAGGCCGTGCGACGGTGGCGCCACCGTCGTCGTTCTTAGGTACTAGATTCTAACGTTATGGAAAGCAAACCTAGACGACAGGTAAATTATGTATAAATCTATATCTATATATACACAAAATAATAAGCAGACTGTACATAGAAATATGCATTACCTACGTACATATAAGACTCATTATTCTATTTTGTAGCACCTTATACACGTCACAAGCATATATTCCTGTTAATTCTACGTGTAACACAGGTTAGCGACATTTCTTAATCCTTCGAAGAATCAACGTGGAATATATAGCTTCCTATCTAGGTGAATTCCTATACATTTGTCTTTACCATTCAATACTAAGGTTATATTAGAATCTTTGTTGCTCTGATTAATTTATTTAACAATCCCAATATCATTTTCTCACCGTATACGTATTCCTTTGTCCGATACACGAGCATAAAAAGATACGACTAAGGTGTTCTTGCTTCTTTTTATATTTCTCGTTCTTTCTTACCGAAGGCCGGACCACACGTGGCTCAGTGTTAATTTGCATTGGAACTTATTTCTCGCACGGTCAACAAATCCCTAATAATGTTACGTTGCGTTTTTGATCCAATGAAGATTTCCTTGCGATTACATTTCCTCAGACGATAGACGAAACAAATATTGTCTCCTTAGCTTTTTCTTTTTTATTTCTCTTTTTCTCATATTTGAATACCGGACAGCCTCACCCTGGAATTCCCACGCGATTTTATTTTTTTTCGTGCCAATTGACGAAATCAAATTTACTCTCACGAGTTTCTTCCTCCGTCCCCCCCTCTATTACTTTCCTTAATAATTTCTTCCTGTCGCGGTACAACACATTTGTGGCATTTTTCGCCATTTTTTTGCTTCATTCCCATCGCTTCGACTGATCATAATTCCAGTGGTGAACGTACGTTAAAGATTTTACAGACTTTCCCACAAGGAATTCTCACGCCACGTGAAATTCCGAAATTACGTTTTTTCACCAATAGAATCTTTTTTTACTATTACACTCAATTAAACACAGACACGAATATAAAGTGCTTCTGAAATCAAGTAAAGCCTTACTCGGTTGGTCGAGACTACAAAAAAAATTGAGAAAACTCAATTTAAAATCATAAAAATAAATTTTACGAATCAAACAGCAGGGACACTAATACCCTAAAGCTTATATTACTCCAGATGCTTATAGCTTGACAGAAATAAAAAAACTGAAAACGTATAACGATCGAACGATAATATATTCAGGTCGCCTGTCTCAATTAGATGAGAAAAATGCGTAGCCGCGATTAAATGATCAAGTTTTAAAAAAGAACGAAATATATATACATATATACCCTTATACAATATGAAAAAGGTGTAAGGCAAAGGGAGCGGAAATAAAAAAACGTTAACCTACCCAAAAGAACCGTATATCACAAATACAGAGTAATGGGCTCTCATCGTATGAATCGCCGGTTGAATCGTCGGGACTCGCTGGGAACGGATAAAAATTATCTTTATACTCGCGTGAATGAGCCGCCATTCGTGATGAGTCTCGTAATGAGAGTTGTTGTCAGTATTTGTTACTATATATATAATATCAGTGATGCTGTGTATAAAGTATATGGACCTATACATAGTCTAGACTTCGAAACGTGTTTTTATAGTATTGATTAAAAGCCTAATGAGTTTTAATAGGTTATGACAACAAAAAGTGTTGAAATAAAAATCCAAAAAATATTCTAATACGTTTGAGATTTACATTGTCGCTATATGGATATGACAGATGACAGATGAAATGATATGACGATTTTTTCTTTTAATTACCATCTGTTCTCAAGTGCGCTTGAATAAGAAAAAAAAATTTGTCTCATCTCCAAACGGGAGAAAACTTCGAAGGACTTAATTTCATATATCAGCGTGTCGTTGGATAATAAATAATTAATAATATATTCGTAATTGTCATTACTCGATACCAAAAAGATTTGAATGGTGAGAAAATATTTTTGAAATTTTTTTTCCTCCGTGTCTGATACTATTTCATTTTTGTCCATATTGTTTTTACGTGGGCGGATAAGGGATAGGACAAAAAATTGTCTGTTGGTAAAAATCGATTAAATCATTGAAATACCAACTGGGACGAAGAATACGAATACCGAGAGCGAACGCAATAAATAAGAATGGGTGTTGCGTTACACGTGAGCTTTCACAAAAATCTAAAAACATCGCATTACCCGCAACGTGTATACCAGGAATGAAATCGAATGCTTTTCTCTTTCTTATCGAGAGGGAAACGTAATAACGTAGACGAAGAAAGAGAATCTTAGGAGCATATAAGTAGAAATAGAAAAAGGAGATTAAAAGAGAAAGAGAGAAAGGAAACGGTATGAGAATGCGTGAGACCACTCACTCACTCTCTCTCTCTCTCTCTCTCTCTCTCTCTCATTTGGTCTCCCAGTCACTCGTTGTGAGAACAACTTGTCGACGAGATAAAAGCAACGTGGAATCCAGAATCCTCGGAATGTATTTCTCTTGGCTGGCGAACGAAGAAATTGACAGGACGCTTTGATAGTTTTGATCATCTGAAATGAACGAAAAGAAATAAAGTTAGCGTTAAATAGTATAAATCCAAAAAAATTTGATACTTAAGTAATTAAGTATAATTGATATATAATTAATTAAATATAAATTCAAATTTCCCGCCTAGAAGCTAACGCGTTGTAATTTTGTTATAAAATCAATTTAAATATTTTAAATAATTATCCTTCATATTTTCTTACGTCATTCGTACAGGTTTTACTGTGATTGATTTTTTTCTTATACCTGTAGTTCGCCAGTAGCTGCGATACTGACGTCAAATTTTCAATGACGTCGCCAGGGACGTGACAGCTTCGTGGGCATGAATGCCGAGGGTCCCAAAAGGACCCAGGGTCATCGGGGTACACTGACCCAAGGCCAAGTAAAAACCCTATCGAGGAATCTCTTTACTCGGAGACGTCCTCTTATTCGTGGAGGGTCGGCTGGCTGGCTTGGTCTGGGTTCTACTGGGTTGGTCCTCTTGGCTCTCGTCAAGACGAAGACCGAAGTGTCGAGTCTTCACACTCGAGTACTTTTATGTGTCATCTTGCTATCTTGGCCCCTTGCATGCATAACTAACCATCTTCGTATAGGTCAGACTGTATCCAAGAAGAGACCAGCCTACAAAGAAACGTAATAACGGCAGTGAGATATGTTAAATTAATATTTGGCGTTAACCAACAGAAGTTAAACTACGGGGAATCCCCTGCTTGTATACAGAACTACATAGGAATTGGCGGGAAATTCAAATTACGAATAATTCTCAACGACTGACTATATCGATAAATGACAATCGATTTGTATTCCCAAAAGCATAATCTAGGTCGTAATAAAAATTTCAATCGAAAAATCGAAATTCAATTAATCCAAAATCGATTCAAAGATAAAAATCGTATCTGTGTTTAACGTACACTCGACTAAGATCACTTTCAGTGCTTAACCACTATTTGTAGGTACATATCAAGTTACGTCTACCACTTGAAAGAATACTGCCACGAAACCTTGGTTATACACACCTATCCAAAAGTGCCACTCTTAGACAAAGTTGCTCCTGACTAACCTTAAGAAAATATCTAAATGGTTAAATCTTAAGGAATTAAATTAGCATTTTCACTAATTTTCATATAAATCCCAAAATACTCTACCTCTGTATTTCTTACTAACCTGTTTATTATACCAGTCTCTTTTTACTACACTGAGATCTACAGGGACTATCAAATTTGATCTAGTCTCTGTACGTACATCTATACTTAAGTTAAGCTAGGTTATGTCTACGTGATCCTTCTACTCTTCAGACACTATCTATTGTACAAGCACAAGTATAGTTGCAGTCTCGACTCCATGCAACGAACCCTTATCTGTTGGACGTTTTATAGCACGCGGATCCCTATTAATTCCTCATTGTTCAGTACAAGCACCCTCGACGATCTCGAATCTACAGGGTGTACTTTGGTATCGAAATATGCAACGTAGCAACAGTATCGATCGGCAAGACAAGTGTATCGATAAATTGACCTGGTTGTATCATACATTGACCCTAGAAAAATTTCCTTATTCGTCTCTTCTGTTTTTCCTCGTAAAACACAGCCGGTGCCAATACGAAAAATAAATCAATGAACGTTCCAGCCAACAAAAAATGTTACACTTAATCCACTATTGACAAATTCGTTTTTCTTTCTACTGTACGAGAAGCCATTCTCCAGCTCCTTCGTTGTCGTTCATGCTGCTTCTTCTGCAAATATGGATTTTTTACTGTCAAGTTGTTCAGACTGTTGCTCACTGTATATATATACTCACGACTTATGGCATACCTAGACGCGTAAACCTTGCGAGAAATTGGCGAACGTGCGTTGCTTCGCGATCAGCCTTCTTTGCGATGGTTGGTATCCATTGGTATCCATAGGTATATAGCTGCATGTATATTGGTACCCATTGGTATATAGCTGCTGTCAGCTACGTTCGATATATGCAAGACGGTACGTCAAATTCTGCGAACGATTCCTGTATGAGAAAACGAATAAACCCTTTTGATTGAATTGTATTGACGATACTTACATACTGCATTCAACGTGGACGATCCGATATGTGTTAACCGGTAGTAACGACAGAGTGCTGACACGTGTTGTTAACTTGAAATTGAAATATAAATAGAAATTTTTATTAGGTTGAAAAATTCATTCACGTTAAGGGCGTTGATCTCGATTCGAATAAAATTAGGTATCAATAAAAATGTTAGGGCAAAATTCCATAGCCACTGTATGTCGATCAATACTAAAAACAAAGGTTATTGAGTAAAGTTTTGTCTTTATGATGACTATAAAAAAAGATCGGCTCCTTAGGCGATCTTTACGCGTCTATTTTTAGATTTTTGTGCGGGGTTTCGAGGAGGGGGGCTTTTACCCCACATCGGAGCCTATTTCATGGCTCTTAATTTTTTTTTGAAATTTTCTTTTTTTTTGGCTTTTTTAAAAACACTGTTAACCATCCGCGAGCGACTTTTACGATCGATTTTTACGATCGTAATTTTCGTAATTCCACTGCCTCCTATTTGCTGTCCCAATGAAGAACCAGCGCTGCTACGAATCGCCGTTTACGTTTAGGCACTGCGTGTGTGATCCAGAGAGTCAAAATTACATGGATGTACAAAATATTCAAATTTTGTATAACAGCTGAAAATTATCTGAAAAGAGGAAACCAATAATTAATACGTCAACGAAATTAATTATATAGAAACAAGCGTGTATAAATTTGCTGCTGTGACGAATGGAAAAAATAAAAAACTGTTTGTCATATTTTCTTGAATATAATAAAGTTTGTTGAATATACGTAAAATTCAAATGCTACATGGATATTTAATTTTTTTTTCCCAAGACAACTTTTAGCAAATAAATAGCGTTGTGGGCAAACTAAAAGTCACCAATGTCCGGGTTATTCGTCGTGCGACAAGAAAAGTTGGAGCACAGGGTGAAACGGGAGTTTGGATGAAACTTTTCAAAGTGCAGAGTGCAGGCAGAATCTAAAAAAAAAAATTGAACAATATTAGTAGCTTGCAGGCTTGAACGAAAGTGCATTATTTTAGATGGACTAATCTGGACCAATGAGATTTCACGTTGGTATCACTTGACCTACTATTTGAAATACATTTCTATTATAAATACAGTTCTTAACCGTAGCTGCACTTGGTGCATAAAATTAAAAAAATGCACTTTTGGTATTTTGATATGTAACAAATATTCATTCACCTTCATTGCCGTCCGTTACTCGTATCTCAGCGATAACCAAGTCAGGCTGGGAATTTGTGACACAATTAATTCAGGCACAAAAGTCCCTAGACTTTTCATACATGAAACTGTGTCAAGCTGTATGTACTTTTACGTATACCGAAATCCTCTTGGAATCCATGAAACTCGCTCGTCCGAGAAGATGGCCAGTTCATGCATTATGCAGTCAGCCAACATTACGAAGAGAAAGATATACAGGCATTCAGCGTGACTCGTGATCCAATCCTTTCCTTGAACAGCATGGGAAGAAAAGATCAAATCGATATTTAGTTTTTACTTTCTCCCCCGCGAATAATGCTTAAGTCCAATGCAAATACATGCACGCAATTAGTTGGTCATGATAAACGAAGAATGTTTGAATGTCGGTAAAAAAGATTTCTCGCGAAAGATATATTGAATTTCGCGCATGCGCACAAGTGGTTAACATTGGAAATGAGAGGCAAATAAACGAGGGACGAACGAATATGGCTAAAGTACACAATGACGAGTGTACGAAGAAAGCTACGCAATTGCCGTGAAGTTTACAGGATGCGTAAACGCGAATTATTGTTACGAGCGTAAAACAAGGATTTCGCATATTTCGCAGCGAAGGTTAAAAGTCGTTTATGGTTTTCAAACCGAGAAGAATATACATTTAAGGATCTGGAGAGTATGTAAAAAATAAAATAAAATAATTTTTAATGGATTTTCGTTAAAAAAAATTTCATTTACCTCGAATATGAAAAATAAGAAAAATTGTCAACTTCAGTTTCATACCATTTTATTCGTCTAGTAATATCTTCGATGTCAGCGCTAGTTTAATTCAAGTTTATTTTATTGAATCATAAAACCCGTCATGTCCCTTTAAGAGAATTTATTCGAACGTTCATTGCTCCGAGTTTTCCCAGTTTGAATTCATCTTATGAACATTTATTTGAAAAGTCTCACGGAATATTTCCCAACTACGTTTCGAAGTATTACGGAACTTGGTTCGAGTCCGGGCTAAAATAATTTACCAGCTAAAACATCATAGCGAGACGTTTATTCGTCTGTCATGCATTCCACGATATTTTTACCGTGCACAAAGTCTTCTTATTATGTATTATGCGAAAGCGAAACGCAAATATTATTGGTTTAGTCTTGCCGAGAATCGCGCGGTTAAGAAAAATTTAATTAATAAAAATATTCTCATTCTATTATGCAGTTTGCATTATACATATGAATTTTTCTGTCGTAACAAAAAAAAATGTCCACCCCACTACCGACTTGAGATATAAAATTCAAATATCACCCCTCAAAAAAATTATATTCGTAATAACCTCGAATTTAGACTCTAATGAATATTTGAAATTCCCGCCGAAAACGTAAATTTGAATACAGCCATAAAATCGATTTTCCTTCGATAATGTCTAAATATTCTAACATCGAAATAGGGGAAGTCCTGGTTACCAGTCGCCGCCACCAAGAGACACTCATATTCATTCGCCATGCACGTCTGCCCATTTTTTACTGCATAAATTGACCTAAGCCGGAGTAAATTTGCAAGTTAAACTTGGAACCTCCGGTACATGCTCTTTTGCTGTAAACACAAGGGATCGCACGTTGGGACTAAAGTGGGAATATAAAGTTCAAGCTTCGTGCTGGCTTATCGACCGGAAGTCAGGATTTTGATATCGAAGGATTTACAGATCACTTGGCTTCATTCGAATAAAAATTACTCTGTACACCCTGCGCATACTGGATATCCTTAATAAAAAAAAAAGAAAGAAAGAGAACGAAAAAAAATAATTATTGCATAACTCACATAACATCCCACAATCCACTGGACCATCATCCCTCCACATTGGATCTCCTACCTTTTGGTCCATCCGATCCTTACCCGGTACCTATCTCGATTTACTGACCAATCGAAGTATCGAATTTCTAGAAGATCGTCAGAGCGTTAGATAATAAAAATAAAATCAGTGTGACCAACCAGAGTCATCCAATTTCAAAATGCTCCAGACAGGAAGTCCAGGAAGATTACAGAAGACGAGAATCCTAACCTCTTCTTCTCCTCGCCCGTTTCGATGAAATCGATCAGGACGTAAAGGACCCTTCACAGTGCGACATAAAAAATAGTTTTTTAAATGTGATAAAAAAAATTGTACCAAATTATAAATAAAATTTGTTAACCTCTTTTCCTCCTTATCGAGCAATTGGCGGATCTGTGCCGTGAGGAAAATGTTCATATCGCCTCTAGACAAAACAAAGGATTACTACGTCACGCCTACCGTTCAGTCCCCCTACAAAGCTATAGAAATTATTCAACCGTCGCGCATCCACGTAGATACGAATATTACCGTAGATATATTTTGAATTACGCAGTAAAAAAAAAGATTGTCAAAACGCTTCATCGACTTGGGATCGAAGGCATAAAAGAAGAATTCATGTACGACCACCTGTTATGTCCATCGGAGAGGAAGTCGACTGAGATTACCGATTACAGATTACGTAAAAGAGCTCGTAAATATGTCGGCAAGTATTACCTACGCACAAATGTTCCTGGTGATGTCGCTTCTTGTTAGTGGATACCCAGTGGGACTCGTCCGGCCTCTTCCTCGAATAAATTGACGTGTGGGCGGGCATAGAAAATAAAAAGAAACAAAGAGACACACGTTGCATGTTCTTACTTTGGAACGAGTACTACGACTGACTCATAATCCCGCATTTGATTAGCTTTTTTTTTTGAATTTGTGATTTTCAATTTTAGGCGGGATTTTTCAAATGACTATCGTTACACGTTGTACGTCATTCATCTTATGTGTAGGTACACGCTGTCAAAATAAATATCAATCAGTCTTTTTATTATTTCGTCAAAAATATTTTCAAGATTTTCTTTCGATAAAATTATGAAAAATCTTTCCCTTGATTCTTTTCTGTAGCAATCAACAATAAAATGTGGTAACGAGGCGTCGTTAAGGATTTAACGAGCGTTATTTCGCCACTAATAACTATTTTTGTACGACCCTATAAATCTGCAGTGTCTACAAATAGAAATTGCATGACCGTCCGGGGACGAGTGCGACCTCTTTCGTATTTTAGCAAGAGATCGATATACCACCGATCGATAAACGTCGTCAGATCCTTAACAGTGAAACTGGTTGGAACGTAAGGCCAATGCAGTTTGAGCAGAAATTATTTTCATTGAAGATACAAATGGCTTACTGGTGAAAGCCATAAATTTTATCTGCTCTGTTAAAAAAATATGTCATGCACCAAATGTATTGTACGTAAACATGTTTCGCTGAACGCACGACAGGTGGCGCCGATAACAATATTTGAATTTAACGCTCGAAAGTTTACCCGCGTGTCCGATACATTTTTCAAATTTCTTCGTACAACACGGACGGTTTTTTTACTTCGTGGATTATAAATGCCAACGGCTACAGTAGCGCCTGAGGAATGTTAATACAAGTCTCTAGCGCTGGGAGAGAACTAAAATTTATAATGCTCGGGACATCCGGCTAAGTATGCCTCCGAGATTTATGCCCTGATACATTTACGAGGTGGTACTTAGTCTAATGAGGTCTAACCTCAATGACGAACCAATGCGAGTTTGAATTCTCAGGAAGAATCATATAAAAGATATAGATTTAATATCTACAGTGTATAAGGATGAATTTGCAACGACAAGTGTAATTACGGTTGAAAATTAATCAACAAAATGTCAAGATCCGGCTTACTTGAATCGAGCGTCCTGCGTGTACGCATCTGCACGTCATACTTACTTTTGTAATTATCAAAAATGTAGGAGCGACGACCACGCGCGCCCTGTCGTTACCCACGCGTCACCCATTATGACTGCATTACGAGAAAATTGCTTGTCTTCTTAATTGAATACGTGTCTCCTGCTTCCCGACGTCTTACCCTGTCTTATCATTCACTTCCTATCGTACTTATGTACATTATCTGTGCTAGCTCATGATACGAGTACATGAGATATTGTGTTCTTCGTCTTTTCCTTTTTAGCTTCCTTCTCTTAAAGAAACTGCCAGGAGACATATGGTCGATATTCTTCCTTCTTTTCCTTATAGCTGTATCCCCAATGGGCGGCATGTGCCAGTAACTGGTCCTAATAATCAAGATATGATATGGTTAATATCTGGTATAATATTCGTATAAGCGTCAACTGAAAATATATGGAGGCATCTTACATGGTTTAGTGTCGGGGTAACTGTAGATCGAGTTACCGACTGAGTTTTTAAGATCACGAATGGACCGAGTAAAAGGAAGAATGGATACAGAACATTTTGGTGGTTCCTCTTGCGATGCGATAAGGTAAAAGGCAGTTTAAGATCGCATTTGGTAAGATGCCGATTCATTTGCTACAGGTCGGTAACAACGGGAACTACTTATCAGGACAGAATTTCTGCAAGATGCTATGAAGATCATACTTCAAATTATGTAAATATAATGTGTATATATGTGTAATTTTCATTTCAGACTCTGTTTTTTTAAATATGTATTGAATTGTATATTTGTCAATGCAATTTTATATAATAAGTTTAAAAAATGTGGAATGTTTCAATGGCTAAAAGTGATAGGAATGATTGCTACATTCAAAAGTGGAGTACTTTATTTGTTAGACTTATTACTGATAATCGCTTGAACTTTGGCTCAACTTTTCTTACCAGCCAAGATGTAATCACTTGACACTCCGACGCGTACATTGCAAGGAAGAACAGAGTAAATTTGATTTAATAACTTATATTTTATAGTTGTGAGTAGTTCGGAAAATATTATTTTACGCTAAATGTAACTTTCATCGTTACAGAACGGAATTTTAGGTTTCTTATTGAAGTAATGTCAGCCGGTGGAATTTTAAGCATAGCAGAGGTAAATGCTCTGCCACTTGAACAATTCGATTGGCTTTTTGGAAATGTCGTTGAGCACTGCCCGGAAGCTGCTCGAGCTGTGGTTTCAAAAAGGCCATTTGTAAATAAAGAGGCCTTAAAAAAATCGTTTGATGACTATTTGGAAAATTTGGATGATACTGGTGAGAAACATATTTGAGTAAAATGTGAAAAATTATTATTTACTTGACATAGATCATTGAGCGATATTGATTCTTAACAGGAAAAGAATCTGTTTTACTTAAACATCCGGATTTGGCTGGAAAATTGGCTGAAGTGGGAAAACTTACACAGGAATCGTCGAATGAACAAAAGTCTGCAGGTCTCGATGCATTAACGAAGGAAGAAAAGCAGACACTTAATAATTACAATTATTTGTAAGTAATCAGTAATAGGGATCATTTAATATTTTCGTATTAAATTTATGCGGGAGCTGGATGAAATGAAAAATTTTGTATCGGTTGTTTCAGGTATAAGGAAAAATTTCAATTTCCATTTGTAATTTGCGCGCGCAGGAACAAAGTCGCGACTATTTTTGAGGGAATAGAAAATAGACTTAAAAATAGTCGCACCGAGGAACTGAATACTGGAATAAATGAGGTGAAGAAAATATGTAGGATAAGAATTGATGACCTTGTTTGGTCCAATGCGTGAATACATAAAAGAAATAACTGAGCAGGCAATAGTGTTGTGCTTATTAAGAATTCTTTCCCTCTTTTATTTAATTCAATTAAGAATTATTGTTACTCCTTTGAACAGTTTGAGATGCAGTAATTAAATACAAATACATTGATACGCAAAGCTCTCAGTAATTCTTGCGTTCAGAATTTAATAAATTTAGTTACCCATAACTATGCTTACAGTATACCAAGACTTTTCTCCACAACAGCATGTGGTTGACCAACCTGTTCTCTAAATTCGGCAGCATTCAGAATGTCCTCAAAACTGTTACATAAAATATCATTAAGGTTAAAAAATAAGTCCTTAATCAAAGGCTCAGAATAAAGAGAACAAAGAATCAAACTAACCCAATTTCCTCATCACGTCCTAGAAGGACATCACGCATCATACAAGATGATGGAAGGAATGGTAGTCGACCGATGTTGTCTGCAGCTTTGAGTTCCATTGCTAACCTCATTGGTGCATGAAGTCCTTGTGCATTGCGCAGCATGATCATTTGCATACGCTGCTGGTTCTTGTGAAACTAATTGAAAAAAATGTATGTCAGTACCAATAACAGTGATTAAAAAGTTAAAGTTAAACATACATTTCTTTCCGAAGCTTCCAACGGATGAGAGAAGCCAAGGCTAGACTTTGTAGCAGCTAACCTATCCATTCAAGAATCAAAGCATACAGTTTGGTGATTAAAAAAGAATAATCAAAAATAATTTATTCAAGTAATTCTTACCCAGCAACCATCGGACTTTGAATACCATAGACTCCATCGCCAACACCAACACTAAACTCGCTAGGTTGGCTAGGTTTGACCTTAAGGGATGGTAAGCCGAAACTCTGCAAAAACCAAACAATTAAAGATATTCGTTTTTCAGCAAATTATTATATACAAATAGAATATTGATTGACATGTGCAGCAAGGATGACAGTAAGTTTTTTATAACCTCTATGATTGGGAGTAACACAATATGTTCAATATCATTCGTATAGAAATAAATATAATATATTCTACAAATTCTTATAATCCCTTAAACAAAACTAATAATATTTTGCAAATCAGAGTTATACTTACCATTTTTTATTCGGAGAAAATATAATTTTCGCAAGGCAAGACACAAACAAAGCTTTGACTGTGTATGCACCCGGATGTAGCGGCCAATAGCGTAGATAATGGCGCTCAACGTTAAATATGAATTGTCATTCTCTGTGCAATAGAATTCGCCATCAGCTTTTTTACATATGGTATAATACAAAAAGCAATAATAATTAGTAACAATTGTTTCTAAATCTGTACCGCGTACAAACGACTGGGTATTAATTAATCTTTTGTTATTTCTTAGCTAAAGATGACTGAAAGAATATATAGTTTATATTGCGCCATATTCCGTGTTTCAGTAGCATAAAAGGCATACCTTATATTACATTTATTGACAAAACACTGCGTAGAGATTAAGCCAAATTCCACTTACAGTAGACATTAAATTTTTGTTGCTACGACGGAATCTTGTGAATCAGTAAATTATCCGCGAAGAAATAAACTCGTAACACAAGAGCACGATGTCTCTTCTCCGAAAGAAAAGTTCCTTGCGAGCCGATTTAAGTCAGGTGATAAAGAAGAAGACAGTACACGAAATGGTAATAAAAAGTATTAAAGAAACTCAATAAATTCAAAACTATTGCTAAAATAGATTATACAATTAAAATTAAGGTTGGAAAATTACGAGGAAGATACCTGTTTCGTGCAGCAGTGAGACTGGTATTTGAATATATGAGCTGGATAACGGCCGAACCAACCGTCGAAGAAGCCGTCGATGACGTAACGAGAAACGTTAAAAAGGCACAGCAAAAAACAGGCCCAGAAAAACGAGGCCTTACGTTACAGGTTAATATAAAAAAATCTTCATCTAACTCCAAATCATTGTAGAATATCCTTATTGATATATTATTATATTATTTACCACAATTTTTTAGGATCGCTCAATTCTATTAACCAAACCCGGACAACGTACCAGAGAGAATAGAAATCATATTTCACAAATTTTAAAAAATTTTCAAGCTTTCAAACGATATTCTGAAGAAATAAAGGAATCAATTACGGCTGTTTGTCGCTATCAGTATCTCGGTCCAGGAAGGGTCATAGTGCGACAAGGTCACAAGGCTTTTGCACTTTATTACATCCTTAATGGCGAAGTCAACTTGTCCCGCATCGTCATGAACAACATTACAGGTTCATTGTACAAAGTAGACTTAACGAATTTGTCAAAATTATTTTTAAAAATTTTATTTATACTACAACACTTTCGTCTTGCACTATACAATACGCAGGTGATGCCACGGAAATAAATGTTGGTACCATGAGTCCTGGAGACATGTTTGGTGAGATAGCATTGCTTTATTCAATTCCAAGGACAGCTACAGTCGTTAGCAAAAGTATTATTATTCGTTTATTAATTAAATTGTACACAGAGTTTACGATATAACTAATAAGTATATTTTTTTGTAAACAGCTCCCGTGGATCTCTTGTATATAACGCTTGAAGACTTTGATAAGATTCTTAGACCCACTTTACTTGAAGAATGGGACGAATTGCGCGATGCTTTAATAAATTTCAATTACTTCAAAGGATGGAATGAGAATACGATTCGAGAATGCTGTATATTAAGTCGTATCAAACATTTCGAACCCAATGAAGTAAGTGTTTGTGATGGAACATATATACTCTCTGTAATTAAGATATTGATTAATCCGATTAATTAATTTGTATCAGGTATTGCTAGGCGATGGAAAGGGAATGGTAAATTCTGTTTATTTCGTTCTAGAAGGCGAATGTCGTCTGATAGAACATATGTTGGTGCATGAACAAATAAAAAGGAGAGAACATAAATATCGTTTATATAAGCCAGTAGATCTTAATTTAATTGATAAGACAAATTCTAATGAGGGAACTGATTCAGTAAGTCAGCAAGAAGAGGTACGATTTTATGATGTTTTTATTATTGCCTCTTAATTGATCAGACAATTAAAGATTCATTAATCATTCAGAGCTCATTGATGAAAATCAATCAATCTGATATTGGTTCGCTATCGGATATCGATTATACTCAAGTTTTATTGTCCATGAGACCTACTGGAAATATTGATGTAGATAGGATGAGTATTGTAACGATGACGTTACAGGACGTTGTGAGTTTTAATAATTTTTTTATATATTCAAGTCAGTACAATTTTAATAGCGTTGATAATTTACAGGTCAATCAGTGGCACGAGATAACAGATGTTGCTGAAATGTTGATGAGAGAACCATCTTCGATTTCTCTTCAACAATATCCAAAAAATGTGCGAACAGTTTTTATGAAAATTTGCCAATTTCACCGTGGTGCCTGCTTCGGTCTTGGTAATTTAAAATTTCGATGAATTCTGATTTCAGGAATTTTAAGACAATATTTACCATTTCTTTGGTTGACAGGTGAAAAAATGATGAACCGAAGAATAGTATCGATTACGCGAATGAAATGTTTATTGGTACCACGTTATTGGCTCTTGGAACATAATAGAGCAAATATTTGGGAACGTGTTAAATTGTTTTTGGACTCGAAATATCCGAGCACAGAGAAGCTTTTTGAAAAATTCGTGCGCAACAGGAGGTACGAAATTGTATACCTATCAATAAAAAAAAATGTTATTTTCATCCGTAGTCCAGTTATTAAAATTAGTGTACGTTCGAACACCGAGATTGGATAATGATATTCTTTTAGATGGTTGAGATACAAAAAAGATCTGATAGAAGATATTGTTAAAAATGGCAGAAAAATTCAAAATAATACGAGCATTCACGATGTTCCTTATTCTATCAGGATCAATGAGGAAATTATGTTTCCGAACTTATAATGTTTTCTAAGTACAATAAAGATGAAAATACTTGCTTTTTCGATCTACAATATTAAGAACTAAGCGTATTTTCTTATATAATTAATATAAGTACGTGTCAATGCGTTACAACTAAAATTATTATTTGTTCACGGAGTTTGTGTAAAATCGTAAAAAATTCTCGTCACTTGACTAGCTTTAAAAACTAAGTAATACTAAATTTGATCTCTGAGCAGAGCAGATGATGGCACTGTGAGGTCAAATAGTTTAATAAATCTCAAGTAAACCGGCCATTTGTTTTGTACATGAAAAAGAACTCATTTCAATGGTAACACCCGATATTATTTTTTCTCAAAAAGGATAAAATGTCTCGATGTCCATAGAGTCCCACAAGACTATTCAACATTACGTAAAATCTTTAAAAATTTCAATCCAGACTCCGATTAAATATACCGAATAAAACAATATAAAACACAACACAGGGACTTTCGACGTGGCCCACGCGAGTCCCAAGTAAATGTATTTTAGATTCTTGTCTGATCCTTGTCATTGATAATCACATAACTGGGATTACTAAAACTGTTAACTGGATCCTTACGAAGATCACTCTTCTGTTTGGGCATATTGACATAATTATCCTGCGTCCTGATAATCGGTGTTCCAAAGTTTTTTAAGTCCGTCAAATCCTTTTCCAAGGATCTGTTTAAATTATCTGAATTTTTGTCCACGCTTACAAGTGGCGCATTCGTGTAGTCTGATTGAGGCTTATCTTGTCTGCTTTGATTCTGACGTTGCTTAGCAAACTCTGCCCTTCGTTGTTGTACATCGATTGGTTTTAAGTAGTCTGAGTTTTCTGGAAGCATCGGAGTCATTTCCAAATCCTCTGGTAAATCAGCTGTCTGGTCCACCGAAGGGAACGCGAAGTGAGATTTAGTGACGTCCGGCCTAGGACTGAAAATTCCTGAATCCTCTGTGACATTTGTGGGACTCATCAATAAATACGAGTTATTGGATGTCAACGTTATTGGCGAATTGACATAATCAGGAACCGTTGAGGACAAAGCAGTATGATCGGGTGCGGACATCATCGTCAGATAGTCACTCTTTCCCGTTTCAAAGGTTATGGTATTCATATCCATATAAGGCACATTGAGCTCGAGATAGCGCTAAACCATAAAAAAAATCAATATTAAAATCATTAGAAAATTTTACTGAACATTCTTTAATCTAACTAAATTTTTATCTACCGTCTTCACGCTCTCTTCTAGAAGGTTCCCGATGCTCTCCACTAGCTTAGGAAACGTCGGTCTCAGGGTTGGCTTGGCTTTCCAACATTGTGTCATAATCTCGTACCTGAAATTTAAGATCAATCTGCACTCCTGAGGTCCTTAATAATAAAATAGACTTCGGAGAAGTCAAATGGTCGTTATAATTTTGTTCAATCTTACACTTCCTTTGTAGCATATTCCGGCTGTTCCATACGGTAGCCTTCTATTAATTTCTGATACTGCTTCTCAGCTTCCATACCGGGATATGGCGTCTCGGCTAACGTGAAGAACTCCCATAGGACGATGCCGAAGGACCAAATATCTGACTGCGTCGAGAATATACGATCCCTTATCGATTCTATCGCCATCCACTTTATTGGCAATGGACTATCTCCTTTCTTCTTGTAATTGTCGTCCTTGTACATTGATTTAGCCAGGCCAAAGTCACAGATCTTGACTACATTGTTTTCGGCCAGCAAAATGTTTCTTGCGGCTAAATCTCCATGCAGCACCTTTTTATAAAAGTATAACATTTATTAATACATTTGTTTATCCTTAATATTCGCATTGTTAACTTTATAAATCATCTATCGTATACCTTTCTACAGCTAAGATACTCCATTCCACCTGCTACTTGATAAGCCCAAGATAATAAATCCTGAGTGCAGATTGGTTTCAAATTTTGATCTTTGTAATCACCACGATAATTCGAGCGCCATCCAGGTTGAGATGAATTGTTACTCATGATGCATCCATCGGGAGACATACTCACTCCTTGAGAATCAGTTCCCTCTCTGTAATCCATCGGTTCACCGCCACTTCCGCCGGAAGTAGCACTGAGACTGCGAGAAAAGGTTAATGCCGCGTATTTTAACCTGCTGTGAAGAAAGAAAGTGTTAACCAACCACCGTCATGCTGTTATCATGGCCCTTTGATAATCTTCCACTTCACCGTTAAGTTAATCAATCGTCATGCAGCCTTCAATTATATCGTAATTAACCACCACTGATTAAACAAGAGTTATGATATAGTTAACAGATAAATTTATATTTAAACAATTACCTGTTGCTACTACAGATACTGGTTGACCTTGTCAAAAATTCCTGACCAATCGAAGGATCGATCTTTCCAGTTGTTGGATCAATTTGATTAATGAAATCGGCTCTGTGACGTAGTAGATAGTTGTGCAAATTTCCGAAACGACAATATTCCACAATTACAAACAATTCTCCTAGAGATTAAATCGATAATTATTATACTGATTAAATCAGTGTAAATTTGATTTTTATCGCTTCCTGCAAGGCTCACGTTTCGCAATATTCTTCGTACAGGCTCCAAGAAGATTCACTACGTTCAGATGCTTTCCAAGATGGACCATAATCTTCAGTTCACTTGCCAAAGCACGAATATAAGTTGGATCTGTGCCTCTACGAACCATCTTTACAGCAACAGTCGTCACTGATTCATCTTCGCTAATTCCTTGAGCTTCGGCCTTCATCACAACACCAAAAGCACCAGAACCCAATTGCTTTCCTGTTCGATGAAGAAATCCATAAATTTTAATTACATTGGATTAATGCGACTACACCTCTTTAATTGATTAATTTAACAAATTACCCAATTTCAAACGTTCTCGTGGAAATTCCCATTTTTTATCATAGGGCAACAATTCAGCTTGGTCGTCCACTGTCAAATCAGGATTCAAACACTCCATTGCTCCTTCCTCGAAATGCATTAATCCGGCTTCAATCAGTTCCTTCCTCATGATCTATTTATATTCAAAATGTCATTTAAAAAATAATTACCAAATCAAACACTAAGCAAAAATCATAAGTTTAATCTATACACTATGATACCTTCTCGCGGCGGAACTTGATGAAGAAAACCGTCATCAGAATAAAACAAATAATTATGAGGACAACGACAGACACGATGAGAATCGGGGATGTTGGTTTTTCTAGAAATTAAAAATAATTGAAATTACATAAAAATTCTAATAAAAAGACAAATATCGCAAGCTCAACAAATATTTAAAACTTGCTTCATCTACACTCACTCTTTATCAGAATCCGTTGGAAAGTTTCAATTTCGCCAATTCGATTTGTTCCACGACACGTGTACTTGCCCTCGTCTCGTTCCAGTAAGAATTTGATATAAAGTTCATGCTCATTGTAAAATTTAAACTGGTCATTTTCTTTGATAATCTCGTCATTCTAATTGAAAAAAATAATATGCAATTACTTCATCACCTTAAGAAACAATTCATTAATGTGGCTCATTTGTTACTTATTATCCTTTACCTTGTACCACGTTACAGTAGGTACTGGCATTCCACCGATATTACACAATAAATACACGTTACGTTTGTTCGCATTCAGATCAAAAGTTATCTCAGTCTCGTTCATGTTTGTTTCTTCGAAAAAAGGTTCTTTTGAATCTAAAAATACCATATAAGAGACACTGTACTGGTAACAATCTATTTTTAAGAAGTATAAGAATCTTCAATTTGATTTCATTTACCAAAGACAGTAAGATTGTAATATTGGTAATTGGGTCTCTCAGAGTCATTGGGTACCCCGGCGCAAATGAAAATATTCATATCGTTCTTACTGACATTTCGAATACTCAACGTAGATCTGTGCGTAAACATAGTGTTGCTAGTAACAATTTTCAGTCTCTCTAAAGCATAAAAAAACATTATAGAAAAAATATATAAAACATACAGACAATCGATTCGTATGAAGTAACCGTACCGGTTTCTTCAATGGGTTGTTTGTTTTGATCATACCACTCCAACTTATCGGTATAATTGTAAACCGAGGATGTACAAGTCAATTCGAAATCGTCACCTTCTACAATATTTGACTTAGGTCGATCCAACCCGAATATCCCCTCACCGTCTGAATACAATAATCAAGGATAAAATATTTACCGCATACAGAAAAAAAAGTACCGCATTTTAATGAATTATCAATCATACACTATTTATTACCTGATACGAAAAGAACTTCTGTAGAATTCACTACTCCACGTGGATTACTAGCAATGCAAACAATACGTCCAGTCGTATTCACCATAAGAGTCACAGTAGAAATGACTGCGGTACGATCTTCCACGGGTTTCAGTGTCGAATTCTGAATCAAGGATACAAGTTTTGTCGGTTCCTATCATTCGTTGCCTGCCTGCTATTTTGTACGTAGATTTATCAGGTTTAAAAATTAATTTACCGTAAGGTCTTCAGTGATCTGAAGTTCTTCGTCGCAGGGGTAGGTCTCTGGACAGTGAATATATTGCCAGGAAATGTTCGCTTTAGGATAAGAAGCGGCGTGACAATTAATTGACGTCAAACTGCTAGGTTTGTAATAAGGCAGAATGGGTTCCATAAGTGTTACAGGTTTTGCTGAAATATAAAAAAATAAAAATGCCGTGAATAATTCATATCTTCAATTTGGATGGAATAAGTAGAAAAAAAAAAGAATCATCTTACATGTGACTACCACAGTAATGTTCAAAGTCGCAGTGTTATTACGATTAGTTGCCACCAGAGTATAATTTCCCATGTGCTTTGTGGCTAAATTTTTCATTTCAAGTTTGATATACCTGTTCGTAATGTTAACCTCATAATTCTCAGAAGATGTTATTGTTCTGTTATCTGGTCCAATCCTATGAAGAAGAGACTGTCTTTAGATTGAATGTTCTTATACTCAGCCAAATTAAATTTACCATTGTAATGTAGGCTGTGGATAAGCATCATAGTATACGACCGATGAGATGCTGCCACCTGCTGGAGACTCAAAATACGTCTGATCCCCTTGTGACTTCAGTTTAATATACGTGTCAAATGGATCTGAAAATATAGGACGGTTTTATTAATAAGATAAATAATTAAATTAAGGCTCTCTGAAATTGTGTACAGTTCAAAGAAATTACCATAGATCTTAATATCTATGGAGGTCGATCGCTCTTCGTATGGATTAGACACTTTACATATATATGTCCCCTTGTCTTCGTCCCGAACATCAGTTATGGTCATTTCGATAATGGCCGTTTTACCGCTGCTCTTTGGTTCCACATATAGCCTCTCGTGAAATCTGCTGCTCTGATGATAGAAATACATAAGGTTCATTAATTTTATTAATCATTGTACTTAATCTTGGATCGACCAGAAACTCACATTATTAGGCGGTATCCACTGAAGGTTAAAAGAACCGTGTCCAACATTGACTGTACAATTTGCTTTTAAATTTTCTCCCCAAACTACGTGCCCAATACTTTCATTGTAAATGTGCGGCAAATTAAGTTTTACATTGGCTAAATAATCAAGAAGAAATAAAAATAAATCAAAATCATACCAATATATCTATAGACACTACCTCTCTCTCTTTCTCTCTCTATTACCTTCAACTTTTATATGACAAAAAATGTCAAGCGTAAAATCATTGTGCTCAACGGTACATTTATAAAAATTGCTATTCTTTATCTTTATGTTCTTCCATATAAAACCAACTCTCGGATCGAACAATCTATTGTCGTTGAGAGTCAATTCCTGTAACATTGAAAAGAAATAAGAAAAATTCATTAAATTCAGATAAATAGTGTTCAGCTTCCAATTTACGTACGTTTCCACTTTCATACAATTTTACAGGATAATCCGGCGAAGTGGGTCTGCAAGGGATAACTAATGTTTCACCAGCACCGACTGTGAAACTCCAGACGTCATCTGATGCAACAGCGAACAGATTTTTCTCTGCTGTAAAATAAAAATGTTTCCCAGCATAACTTTTGTCAATTATTCAAATGCCGGGTGTACTTCCGAAAAGCGCATATCGCCGATCGATCTGAAATTTGGTATAATAACGTATTTTGACCTTTTAATCACGAATATCGTAACGAAAATTGGCGCAAACGCCATTTTGAGTATGAAAGTCAAAGAAGAACCTCTTTTCGTTCGGTGTGCATAATCGCGCATTCCTAACCGATTTAGACTATTTTAGCTTTCCCCAGAAAGGGTATATGTGTGTTCCTACCCCACAGTTCCTAATCTCCGCTGTACACACGCGAATACCCTTTCTGGGGAAAGCTAAAATAGCCTAAATCGGTTAGGAATGCGCGATTATGCACACCGAACGAAAAGAGGTTCTTTTTTGACTTTCATACTCAAAATGGCGTTCAGATTCATCGGCGGTATGCGCTTTTCGGACGTTTATCCCGAATGCCTATTAATATATTTGTTTAGTTACATTTAACGTATACGTAAGACCAGGCTGTGGATGGTTGTTGACGATCATCAGGATCCAGGGTGACATCCTGAGGAGCACATCCGTACCAGCCGGTGTCCCCGTGTTCAGTACGAGGACGATAAAATACACCATCAGAAATATTCCAATCGGTTGTAACGTTCTGTCATGAGAAGGTAGAATTAAAATATAAATAAATAAACGCAAAAATTCTTTACAATGTATTCGAACACTCACGAATTCAGTACTCAGTTTGGGAAAGCTAAAGTGGGAATCAGGACCAAATCTACATTGCAATTCCAAGGCACTACCCTCTTGCACTACGAAGGACTCGTTCTCACCGATGCTTAGTGGTTCCAGATGCACTGTGAACATTGAAAAATAAAGAATTTTTAAAAATAAAATTTAATATTTTATTGAATCCAAGAGCATGTTTTTGGCCATCTTAAATCATTCTGGATCTGAAAACGCGGAGGTTAATTAATGTTTCTCAGTAATTCCCATTGCGCAGCAACATAAGCCGCAATGTCCTGGGAATGTCCCGCGATGTTTATTCCCTCTCTCGTGTACAGTGGGAGGCGAGACAAACTCGGAGGAAGTCTTTTTTTTCCTCTTGTGATAATCTCTTATCTGAATGTACAAAACGGACTGACCGAGCACTATTACGAACATCCAGAAAGAAACTGTATAGTACGTTCGCAAAAGAATTGTAAGAACGACGGTGATTAGCTGGGTAAAAATAATGATGTATATTAAAATTACATGATAGGTGAAGATGGATCGAATGATTTGACTGAATTGAAAATAAGCATAACGCAGACGAAAATTATTACTGTACTCAAGAGAAATAAAATATTGAAGAGGAGAGAAGATTATTAATAATAAACAGTTGAAATCTTATGTTTTGACTAGCATGCGTGTTTCAAATTTTTTGACTCATTTTGCCGCCGTTTCCCGTCCACGTGGATTCGATACGAATTGTTATTTTTTCGTGGTTCAAGACATTTATTATTGTCAACCAAGGAAATTTGTTTATTTGTTAATCGGAAAGTTGGGAGGACCTGGTCTATTTTTTGTCTAAATAATCAAGAAACATTTTTTCTAAGACAAGTGATGCTTGCCAAATATTTTCAACGCAGATAAGACGGCCCTTTTTTTGGGGCGGAGCATTGACCAGATGTTTCAGAAAAGATTAGAGCATCTGTATCTTTCGGTATGAGGTTCACTTGATAGTCCTATGAATATCACATCTGGAATAGTTTTTTTTTTAACCAGAATTTGCGATAATGAGAATAAACAAATAAATATGATTGATTTACTTATTTTTCTCGGATAACAGAGCTACATGTATACATTTACAATTCAGTCGTTAAAGAATGAAAGGTATAAATAAAAAATTTATCTTCCCATTAACTGTGATAAATTTGCTAAATTATAATACATAAATTACTGCAGTAAAAAGAGTTTGCAATAATTTGAAATTTATTGTCATAATGACGTCTATTTCATACGTAATATGGCTGACAAGTGTTATAGGTAAAAATTACCAAGATTCAGGACGAAGAGTATGCAGTCATCATGGAATGCGCGACATGAGTAATTCGGAGCGTGACGTATTTTCTACTGATGAAATAATAATTAAATCCGTAAGAGTGAAAGACTGAGGATTTATGTAGATAAAATGAAATAAATTCCGACTGTATATGTGAATTACAACAATTACATATTTTCTTTAGCTACCCTCAACAGCCCTGAAGCTATTGAATAAAAACATGGATGATTCAGTGCATTCGTCAGTGAAGCATAAGTGTCAAGGTTCTTTGAGTAAAGAAGTAACACGTAACAAATGACTAATTGTTCGAGATGAATTCAGGTAAAAAAATATATAAAATGTCCATACGTTTGATTCGCACCTGAGTAATAGACCACGTGCAAAAAGAAATGCACCCGAATGCGCAGACTCAAAACCCGCACTCGAAATACAAATAATCGTATAAACAATATCAGAAATTGAACAATTACCAAATCTTGTTAATGAGTATAAATGCGTTTACAGGTCGTAAAGTCATCAAGATAGCAGTAATGACTGCAGGAGGTGTATTTAGAGTAAGCCCAAGGTTTCAGGCACGAGAAACGTCAGATATTTCAGGGCCGTTTCAGGCACGTATATTAAAGGTGCCAATAGTTATCAGTAAACGCCAAATATTCATATTGTCACAGTGAAACCAAAATGCTGGCTTAATATATTGACGTCTTGAAAATGCTGACGGGTGAAATGAAATTTTCTGTGGAAATATTTTGTAGGTTAGCCGAGGAATGTTAATAAGCTATTAAACACGTATGTCTTACCTGGAGCTATCAGTATGTTGAGGAGGAAGTAAAATGCAATGTATCGCGTCGTCATCCTGGACAACTCACAAACTTCAATTGTACGAGATTTACATCACTGTATGTGAAAGAGGTTGTAGCAGCAAATGCTACAGAAGCGCTTGGAATACTGAAAAAGTTTCGAGGTTGTCGATGAGAAATACTTACCATGTCGACCCCACCCGTTTAAGGAAAGTTATCGTTCTTAAAATGACGTCATTTCTACCACTACCGGTACTTCTCCTACTTGTCCACCACGATTACTGTGCCCTGAAGATGATGGGAGTTCTGTCGTGCATATACATATAATTCATGGGAGAAATAATCAAACGATGTATACATATTACATTTAGATAATACATAAAAGGATGCAGATAAATTTTTTAAATTGTGGTTACTGTTCGCTGTATTTAAATAAAAATATTAAAAGGTCTTTGGAATGCGTATAGGATTCTGTAGAATTCATTATGGTTCAAGATGCTGTAGGTAAATATAGTTATTAATAGCGATTCTTTTAATTCTCATTGATATTGGGGGCGATGCCTGTTACGTGTTATGTGGATTTTGAAGAAAAATATTTTCATGTGAAACAAAAAAAATGGCCAGAGATAACTGTTGAACTTTGCGGGAATCGCGGGTATTTTGGGAGTATAAAATAAATTGCAGTATCGTTTACTTTGAAAAATTTTATATATAATGTAAATATAGGAAAACGTGTTTATAAATCACTTATTCCGCGAATGTCGACGAATATCGTAGCATAAGTAGATTCTTCTGTTTAGTGATTAAATTTATTGGAATTACAGTTAGGAATGTAATTTGAATTGTATCATAGGAAGGAATTGAACTTAACGGTATTTCCGATTTTCTTAACGTTTCTCACCTGCTGTTTTTATTAGAGGTATTGAGGTCTTTAACTTGTAATTATTTTAGTTCTAATTAAACGTTCCTTATGCGTTGCAATTAACAGTACCATGCAAAACGACCCGGTTATTATTTTAATAATTAATATATTACATACTTGATAACCATATCGCATTTGTATTCCATCGCAAAATAGATACACACAAATTTACCAACAAGTAGGATTCTCATAAAATCGGCTAGTTATGTAATGTTGTTCTGTTGGTGGAAAACTGAGGACGCAGTGCGTTTGATTCGTTAGTAACTCATTTCATCTCCACCATTAGGATCAGCATGATCGTAACTTATCAAGTACCGGGTTTAAATTCAAATGTTTTTTGTAAATTATTGTTACTCAATAATTTACCTTTTGACTGAAGAGAATCGTCATGAATATATGAAGGAAATTGGTATGACATAATTATCTAAATGCTTAACAGTATTCTTAACTTTTACCAATTTAATTCCCATACATCACTTTGTTCTATTAGATGATGGATGTACTTTTTCGAAAAATCTGTATAAAGAAAATACGATATACGAAAACGAAAATAGACTATGATAAAGATACTCGAAACAAGGTACCCTAGCTATTCGTAACAACACAGCTGATTTTCGTCTACAAGGGCGCCAGCCGCGCCAGTGCGTCATAATTCGAAGTGTCCGAGATTTTTTTTCGGCAAATATCATTTTCAGAACTATGTGATTTTATAAATAAGATTAATTGTCATTAAAATATATGAATACTGGAGTGATGGCAGTACTGATAGATACGTTATTCGGCCTTCTATTGATTGTTGAAGACTACAATACATGATTCATCACGATCTACAAGGTTAAGTTATGCTCCAAATCAGGATATTAAGGGGGCATCTTATGTTGCAATGCAAGAGGTTGCTGTTGAATACAAAATACTTTAAACAATGTCGACAAATCGTTTTATCAAAGCACCTGTTGTTCAAGTCAAATATCGAGCTGCCTTTAATACTAAGGGCCAATCGAGCAGGTAGCGAGGAATCTGATGAATTCTTACAAGAAATGAAGCATTCTCCAATTATACAATTGTTGGATGAAATTCATAATCCTAAACGTTTTGAAAAATTAAATTCCTCTGATGTAATGATGATGCATATAATCAAGTGTGAAACGTTATCCACATTATTCTCTTTTGTACGAGAGAATAGTCATATTTTTAATGCTGCCCATGTATGTCATGCTCTCTTGATGACCAGAGAGCTTCAAAGGAACAACAAGGAAGCTCGTAGTCTATTGTCTGAGAGTAATTATGATTATATTCAAATCTTGGACTTAGTATCACATCATAATAAAGAATTTACTCTGGATGAAGTAACGTGGTCATTACTTGCAATAGCTGCGTCAGAAGTTCCTGTACAGAATGAAACCTTCCAGCTTCTGCTTTCTCGTTTTCATGATTATGTGGAAAAATTGCAAGATGATATTCCTCTCATCAACCTAGCACGCTATTCATTAGCTATTCAGAATTTTGCACTGGAACATTGGACATACTGTATCTCTCTGCCAATATTCAACTTGGTTTTAAACAAACTCCGTATGTATCTGTGGTTCATTTACTATTTATTCCAAAAATACCAGTTTTATGAGATCGCTTAAAATATATTTCTTATTTTAATGATTTTTTCTTATTTAGATGGATGTACAACTGCTGTAGATATGTACTTGTGTACTCTTTGCTTAAACATTCAGCGTGAGCTTGTAACAGATTCTGTCCTGTCCAGTTATCAGATGGTTGTTCAGAACTTGTTGAATAAAAATAAGTTACATGCTGGTAATTCAGATATTCTTCTTGCAATCTTGACATTTTTAAATCGTCCTGACTGGAGACTTCAGTGCAATAATACCATGAGGAATATTATGCTTCAATTTCATGGAAAGGTTCATCTTTTAGATGTAAACATACTTGTCGAACTCATCAAGGTACATACTGAATGCAGTATCTAATAATTCATTCAGATAAATAAAATAGCGTGTAATAATCGAAGAATTTCTTTAATTTAGATATTTTCGAAGTTACAAGAGCCATCCTGCCTATTAGACGAATTCCAAAATAGCGCATTCAATTTTTTAAGCGAGAATGTGAGCACAACAACAAAATCATCCCTAGCTCGTTATTTAATTCCATTTACATTTGGCCCTTCGCGTCAAAAATTTCAAAAGCTTCTGAATAAAAACTTGCACATTCAATCAACTGAAAATGATATATCAGTTCAAAACTTTGTAAAACTCTACCAGACCTTCAAAACCCCTGTAATCAATACATTTTACACAATTTGGACAAAGATGCAATCGTTAATAACGTCTAATAATCCAGAAGTTATTGAACGACTTCTCCAACTATGTTTCAGGTAATTTTTCATAGTGTATCAATGCATCAAGTGAAAGTAAAAATGATAACACTCTGTACTTGATCATTTTTAATAATATTTCTCCAGGTATTATTATTAGTCTTATAAATCAAATTCTTCAATGCTCTAATTACTTATGATATTTTTACAGTTACACTTATTACGTTGATCGATACAGTAACCTTCATCGACATTTAGGTTTCGAGAAGGAAATGTTAAAATGGCTTATGAACGATTTGCAAAATGGAGAGTGCAACTTTATAACTTGGAAATGCACGAGAGCAACTGGTTTTACACTGGCTTATTATCCAACAAATGAATCAAAGGATGCGATTCCTGATATCGTCATTGACAAACTACTCTCATTCTCAGAACAATACAGTGTCTTTCACTGCTTCTACATTACCCAATGTCTCAGGTAGCCAGCGTAGATAATTCATACTTAAAGTACAGATTCGCTGCGTGTCTCAGAAATTGATTTCCTATTATATTTTATATCTTAGAATAGCTCGAAAGATAAGAAAAGATGAAAAGAAGTCGACCAAATTAATCAATCAATTAAATCAAATTGATCAAATGCTGGATGAATGTATGGAAAGATTATTAAAAAGTGAAACTTTAGATGTGACGCACGTCACATTACTAATGCGTTGCTGTGCCTATAGAGAATTCGAAAAAGAAAATGAGTTCTTTAAAAAAATCGAGCAGAGGTAAAATTATATAATAATCTTACTTAATTAATCTTCAACGATATGAATTAATTTCACCATACGTTTTTGTAGAACAAAAGAGACCGATAGTAATATTACATCCCAGATTATACGAGAAGTTACATCTTCCATAACTCAAAATCAATATGTACTGCCACATCTTATAGAGAAGGTAGTGAAGTATATTATAAACAACAGAGAATATGTCCTTGCACAAACTGTTGCTTACTTTACAAATTCTTGTTACACACTTGGCTATACTCCCAAAGATATCACCGAATTTACAGCCGTCGTCAATGAGATAATTTATAGGTTCGTACTATAAATAATAAATATATTAAATAAATGCGTTACCGAAAGACTTTCTTTTTTTAATTTTTATAGAGAGCGCCATAGAATAACAGGAAAGCTCATAATTGAGACTGCCCTGACACTCTGCTACTTTCAACATTTGTCGAGCGATTTGATACGTTTCATCTTCACGATGGATTTTCTTCAGGCACTCGACGACGAGATTATTCTGAACAAGGCACATTTGTCGTATCCCAGTAGAGTACGAAATAGTCTCATGAAATTAAATCGTGCGGTATGTATTGAGTTTCCTGAAGAGGATGTACCCTGGTTCCACAGGAGATACTGCGAAGAAGAAGCGACTAGGGGTAAAAGTCTTTAAATAGCTAAAGGTTATGGCATATCCTCCCTCTGTTTCTTATATAATTCCTAATCATTTTTCTAGACTACAGAAATCCGAGAATTTTCCACAAGGAAGTTGATCAAACTCTAGCAGCGTTGGTAGATGAGAAAAATATTCGTGTTAACGCGTACTCTCCTTATTACCATAAGATAGACTTTCTGGTGCAGAATAAAGAAAGTAAAAAGAACTTCAACGACAGAGGGTGAGTATAATTCGTCCAGTTTATTCTACCAATGTATCGTTATATTCGTTTTTTACACGTGAAGTTATTATAAAGTTTAATTTTCTACATAATCTATATGAGCTGGATAAAAACATGAACGATCTATTTACTGAAATATATTGTATGTACAATCTTTAGTTACTTATAATCCTTAAAAATATAAAAATACAGGTGAATAAGAGTGATCTTGAATCTCGTGTTTTTCTCTTTTTTTTCTAGGACAGCCTTGATCTTACATGGGCCCAATTCGTTCTCTAATAACGGAACCTATCTAAAGGGAGTTTATGAAATGAACAAGCGTCAGTTGCAGATACTAGGATATAACGTCATCACTTTAAATCATTACATATGGAATTCCATGGCTCTGTCTGAATCGAGCGCGAAACTGAAGTACTTGTCTGACTGCCTTCAAGGAAAATCTGAAAAAGCGATTTGAATTAGGTGCAAAACATTTGTGGAAACCTCCATTGTACCAAATAAATTAGTTCAATTGTTCATCGTTGAAATTTCTCTATACCCTTAAATGCTTTTTCTAAAGTTTATATACAATTACATTCCCATTCTATTTAATCCTACTATTTCCCTAATTTTTGGTCGGTGTGATGGGCTTTCTATTACAATAGGAATTCCTTTCTTTTTTGTTTTCTATATATCCTTTTGCATCACATTTTAAGTATCGAGTGTTCAAGTTCTCTCCAGTCTTGTGTTGTGTTCTCTTTTTTTCTATAAAAATATAATATATTCACGTTGAGTTTTTAGGAACGTTAATTGGTTCTTCTTCTTCTTGAGTACTAGAAATCAGCTCATTTATAATCGAACAGGAACTACTGGTAGAAAGACGATTCTCCTCAGAAAGCTCGGGAACTTTAAGTTCTTTAACTTCCGGCGCCTTCTCGCCAACCGTAAATTTCTTTAAATCCAAGTCAGGTGACGGTAAAATTTCTTTCTTATCAAATTTCTTGTTTATGCATGGGACGAATGTTGGTGGATGTACTGTCGAAGAATTCTCTTCCTCCTGTTCCCCTGTACAGCACTGGGGAGAACTACAACGTCCACTTTGACAGGGGATTAGACATTCCAGTTTGCCTATTTTGGGCTTCATCTGATTGAAAAAACAAAAAATAATTTAAGAATGAAAAATATTCCTCGTGTTAAAATTTATTGGATACTTTTTTTTCAATAAAAAGTTTGAATCAATAAATATTTATTGTTTACCTTATCAAATTCAGGTTGAATTGTCACTTGCGTTATGCCCATTTCGTTGAAGAAGTTTGTCACTTGGTCAGTAATACTCGCATAAACCTAAAACGTCATTCAATCGTTCTCAATTAACATAGGTTAGTCCACTGACTTATCATGAGTACATATTGAATATACTTTACCGTGGGATCCATAAAGATAATATGTACTGTCGATACAATTTTCTGTCCCGTAAGCTGCCAGACATGAAAATCATGAACATTCACGATCCCCGGAAAGGCCATCAGAAGTTCCCGTTTCAAGGCATCGATATTCATATGATTTGGTATCGTTTGAAGTAAAATATATCCAGACTCTCTCACTGCAACAGAAAACAACGGGTTCAAAGGACTAATGAAAATGATCATCAAATCTTTCAGTACTAAATCAATAAATATCTCAAGGATTCTCACTGTAAGGATAACTCAGCATGAAGAGACACAGCGCAGAAATAATAGCCAAGACAGGATCGAAGTACTTGGCTATGTCTCCATCCGTAAAGTAAACCAGAACCGCTACCAGGGTGACAAAAAAACATCCCAAAACGTCTCGACACATTTCTCGAAAGCCTTGGCTCCTGGGCAAGGCCAGGGGACTCCAACGACTATGCCCAGAGAGTTGCTGTTCGCCGTCCTTCGCAGGCTGTGAGCTCACGTTCCTGAAAAGTCACCGTAAAACAGAATAAGACCGTATATCCTTCGGAGTCCTTGACAGCGATATTAATGGACCGCAGAAAAGGGTAAAGTCCATGGCAGTAAGAAAAACACTAGTACAATTGTTCAATGAAGTATGGATAATCGAATAACTAAAATAATTAACTTAATTTCTTACTTTTTAAAGACGACGTTCCCGTGCTTGGTAACGTGAAGAAAAACACCCTGGTTAAACGTATAGCCACCTATAAGGATGTAACAGAATACGTTCAGCAATATTCCAGCAGCTCCTATACAGAATACCGGAACTACGTGATGTATCGCATCTGTATGATCAATGTGCACTAGGGTTTGCAAAGCTTCTACGACGAGGGAGAAGCAAAAGGATGCATGAAGAACGCAGCATACGAGGATGATGACTATGTCGATTCTAGCCCAGCCAAAAGTATTTTTCATTCTTCTATCGGACTTTGATGGCTGGTTAAGAGTTTATATTAGTGAGTAAACAAATTTTTAATTACTTTCTTTTTTTTTCATTAATTAACTAATTACCGTTGGTCTACGTGGCAATGATACTGATGTTTCTTTACTCTCATCGTTAATGGATGTCGATGAGTTTCCTTGCGAACTACAGCTATTACTTTCCAGTTGATAGCGATCACGTTGCTCGTACTGAAATAAATGATTTGGACTGTTAAAAAATCTTAATTAATACATTGACAATGTACCGAACGAATAAACTATCCTAGTTCGTACGATTGCCACAAGCTAATTTTCATTAACACTTCAATACTGTACTTTTAGTGAATGGAAAGTACCTTTATCGAGGCTATACATCCAACCAGAGCGACAATATTACAGAGCATGTGATAAGCATTGAGCAACAGTGTCAGTGCATGCGTAAGGTGACTGGCTACTAGTTCCACGACGAAGAAGGCCGTCGTGAAGAAGAGCACCACATAGAGTTGAACGGGCTGCAGACTGCGAAACCACTTCTTGACTGCCATTGCTATTGGTTACTCGAACCTTGTTCGATTCTCCGTGTCGAAAATTCCGATGGAATTATCCACGGAGGACGAATGGTTAAGTACAGAATAATAGGAGGCTTGATGACTACCGTCCGGCCACTATTCACTGGATAGAAATCGTCATTGTGGTCATTCAGTGATTGCCTGTAACAAAAGCATGCAGCTGCAGTCATTGTTGTTGTTATTGCCAATTTTTATTTTCAAAATCATTGATACCGATATACAGTTTCATTTAAAAGAGCTAGTCGGTCAAAGTAAATATCTGCTTTATGAATAATAGAATGAGCTTTTTTCCTTGGGATCATAAATCCTGTTCACCTACTTTATCAAATCGTCATTGTTACCTATCCAGGCCGACGTTTATCCATGTGTTTATTGTTTAAATTATTTTTTATTATTTTACAATCCTCCTATATATACTGTACCTATACCTGTTATGTTATTAGACTACTCTTCGGTGTCCTATAAACAAAACTATTTGTAAAACCACGCATAATTTCTTTCTAGATATACTTCAAGAGTTCCTCTGCGACAATAGTCGATGAAATATTTTGAAATTTTTAGCAAATTATTATGTCAAGATGATAAGTCCATGCAGCGAGTCATGGCTGTCTTATGAGACAGATTAAAGCCAGAGATAGTTGGAAAATGAAACAAAGAAATGTATAGGAGGATGACAATCATATCTTCCCAGGTCAAAGTTCACCTTTTCTTTGTTGTTAATATGCCATTACTCTTACTTTATTAAAATCCATTTATGGATTATCATTGTGTAGTAGAAGTTGTTCGTTTATCTTATTTATTCAATTATTTTAGGTACACTCTCCAACTGTACTTGACCTTCGGCGTTATCAAATTTTCACACTATCCTGGAATTATGATTCAGGAGGTCTAATTAGTCTATACCGCTTCTAATGGCGGATATACAGTCTGGACAAATATAAAGTGGATAATGGTAGCTGGCCATAAGAGAATAATTCTCGTTGCCAACAACTATCAGAGCGTTAGTTGCTAACATCCGCTCCCTAATAGCTTCTCATTCTCGCTCTTATTCAAGTTTATCCAATACAGCTTGCAAAATCTATAAAAAGTCATAAATCCCATTGTTTTCAAGTAAGATGGAAATACGTAAAAGAGAATCAAGATATTTATGGCATGTTAATCGGATGAATCTAATCTGATACACTGATGACCCAGTTTCCATGCAACAATCATATCAAATGATAATACCTACTGTTGCGTGAAAATCTAAAAATGTCTAATATTTTTTCTTTCAATTATAATTAAACAGCTGACTCTTTCTGTCATAAGGGACCCGATTGCAATGACCTTCTTGCACGAATGCACTAAGGCTGCGCTCTCGCAAACCTTGATTACACGAAAAATATTAATTAGGAGCACCAATCGACGGTGAAATCTGACTAGATTGACTAATTTTTCTTTTTTTTTTTTTTACAAATGTTCTGCTTAACTTACTAGGGCGAATTCGAACGCGGAAAAACGACAGTCAATTATCAACGAGCTTTTCCGCACCAATTAATTTTTAGCATGTTTCAGAACGCATGAATAATTTTTGTCCTTTACCTAAATACTTCATTTCTGACCCTCGGATTTATGGAGAATACCCCAAATTTGTCATCCACTACTTTTATACTGACACCATACAAATATAATACCTATGTTATATATAAATCAATACCCATAAGAAAAGCTACTGTGAATTTACTAATTTGAACAAAATAACTTTTAATGTTCATATTACTTACTCTGTAATTACTGCAGTCCAAATAATTGATATCTGCCACTTCTGATTTTAATTTTCACACTTATATGCCCCTCGAGACATCAATTTATCTCCAGGAACACGATTTGACTATATCAGCACATGAAAAAAAAAAAAAAAAACATTATAAATATATGATCATGGTATCAATATCAATGCTGAGTTTATTAGTCCATAAGATAATAATACACGGATATGTATATATAGCTACCCCTGATAAAATGAGCATATAAAAATATTTTCAAGAAAATTCTGTAATACCACCAAAAACAATGCAAACAGATCAACGAGTAAATTATCACGTATACGATAATCTCACTAAATCCAACAATTATTTTACAGAAAATTCTCTGACTGCTACTAGAAGGAAGCTACGCGAGGAGCTAAAATATACTAGGAAATAAGAAATTTTATGCACGAACAAAAATATACACCAAAACGCCTACAGAGAGAGACAACGTATTCCTACACGTGCCAAAAATTTTAGCAACGATAATCAAAGCTTGGTATATAGCGTTAAGAATTATTTTAAAACTAAAAATAACAACGGGCACGTGATCGGTGTCAACGCACTCTTGTTATATTATATTTATCCGTCCACGTAGCCTCCAAATCGCGGGAGATAATATTAAAAAGAGAAACTTTTATCTGAAGAAACTCGTATAATGTGTTAAGAGGTGAATAAAAGTCTATGCCGTGAACTCACTGACTGCCACACTTCCACTGGGAGTAAGTTCTTGCTCAATCGGTGGCTCGAGCGCTACTGACAAGAATAAGAGGAGAACATATAAGTATAGCAGTGGGTAAGTGAGGGAGTAAGTTCGTTGAGGGCTTTAAAGAGGAAGTTTCTCTCTCTCTCTCCCCCCTCCTCGCTCTCTCTTTCTCTCTCAGTAGGTTTGGGAAGGAATGACGGTAGTGTAGCTTATACGTTCAGTTACGATTTACTGCAATCTGCGATAAGAGACTTTATTCCAAGCAATTTTACATGCTAATCCTAAACTGAGAGCACGTTTGATCGTTTCGCTTTAGTGTTATATATATATATGATTTTGTCTTGTTTTAACTAATTGATCACTAAATATTTTCATTATTTCTATAACGATAATGGAGACACGATATGACGGATAACGATAGGTTAATAATGATAAGATACTACTATATCAGGAATATTATTTTATATTCATTGTAGATCATTCTGGCGAAATTCTATTTTATGTGAAAATTATCATGGACCAGTTTGTTATTAACAATTTCTAGACCCTGCCACGTCCTCCTAGACGCTTGAATTAGCTGTAAATGTTAAATTTGTCCTGTGACTACATTTATTTGATGTGAACAGGTGCATGTGGAATTAGGACAAGGGGAAGTGACAGAAGTTAACACTTAACCTATCGACAACTTTTTATAAACGTATTTTTGGCTTTAAAAGGTTCAAATAACCTGTGGATGGTAGGTTTAGTGTTAGTAATGGACTATCGCAAGGTTCTAGTTTGTCGTTGATACATTTTTTCATTAATGAGGTACTGAAGGAGTAACGTAAGAACGTAATAGTTTGTTATGTTGTAATTAGGATGAATCCTTGGAAAATGTCAAATGAAATATTATCGATGGATTCGAACAATGAGAATCCAATGATATTTGTATTATTGAAAATGGTACGGTTATCGGTGACTAGAGTGTTCTTTGCACACGACGCCAAAGATTGAAGAGAGTGAAAAATATTCTTCCTGAGGAAGACACCCGTTCTTTATCTATCGACTGAGTAAAGTGGAATTCGATATCAAAACATGGGGGATTGTATTACGCTTAAACAATTACATCGCCGATAGGTGCTATTAATTAATGGGCGCTGAAGTAATGAATTGTGTCATATTATGGGATTTGGGAAAATTTCTGCAACGTTAGTAGATTAGTTTTTTGGCCTTTGTAATTGCCTTGGGATTACATGGAGAAAGTTTTCGTTATGCAAAGCATTAATTGTGTGAAGGAAGAATTATATGGTTTCTTATGCCTCTGATTAAAGAACAATTATATAATTTTCTTACTATGGATTTACTGAGTTTGGATTTTGATTCGTCGAGTGGACAAGTCGCTGCGGAACCGTTGGTTTTCATAAAGAAACGTGTCTTTCCATATCGTTTCATCAAAAAGATGATTATCCTTTTTCGTAGACTGCCGCTAGGATTGTGTGCGCTAATGGTGCCATCTGTGAGCAGACTGTGGAAACCAGTTGAGGAGATACTGTTAGATTCTTATTGGTTCGTGTAGATCACGCTAGATGGCAGGTTCCTCTGGCGAATAACAAAAAGAACTATTCGCCTCTTGAAATTCAGTCAGTCTTCTTTTATAAGTCGCACGAGTCATGGCGATTCCGTATGGAAAATTTCGGAAGAAACAACCGTGATACGACACCTAATCTCTATTGTAAGAGTTGCGTAAATTTCTGCAAAGATTTGTTTAGTTAGGATGAGTTAGTTTACGTGAATCTTTGGTCATTTTTTTTCCTGTTTATGCAATTTTGAGATATCGAACTGTCTTGCGTTTACATCGGAACTTTTAACCATGGATTTTGGGACACTATTGAGTGTCGCTCAAAAAAATGAAGGCAGTAAGCAGGTAAGACAGTCTTTATTTCAATTCTTAGATCTTATTGTTGTTGTTTCAAAATCTTTCGTTTTTAACGCTTGTATTATCATTTTGTGAAGGAAAAAAAACCATTGAAGTTTTTGTCCTCGTTTCCAGAACGTTCGAAATATCTTTTTTTATTGTATCTGTTATTTCATTTTAATAGTTTTAAGCCTTTTTTTAGTATTGTGACCCTTTGACACCGATTCAAATTATTAACAGTAAGCTAAACTTAATAATCTACCATAGACTATGTTCCAATATTAGTATTGAAATTTTACAACGTTGATAGATGCTGAAATATTTATATATTATTTTAAACTTTAGGTTCAATATATCTCTTTTTTTTGTCTGCTTGATTAATTATGACAGTAATTGAATTCATATTCAATTGTTCTATCATCGAGATGATTAGTGGTACTAAATGGAAAATTCTATTTTTTAAAGCCTATTGCGTGCTACCGAACCAAATTTACACCACCCAAGAAAGAGAGTAAACAATCAAAGAATTTATCTGAGAATATCAAGAAATTTCTTGCCAGAAAAGAAGAAGAGGAGCGTCGAAAGGCTTCTGAGGAAAAAAGGAAAAAAGAGGTATTTTCACTATTACAATCAGTAGAATATTCATTATGAGGAATGCTTCTAACAGTGATGATTATTATCTTTTTTTCCAGAATCTCTTGGCCTTGCGTGATCACAAAACTCAAAGCAGAATAAACAAGCATTTAAAAGTTTGCAAATCTGCCAATAAATCTGTATTGGCTGATGCTATCGACAATGAAAACACTGCTGTCACTATGGCAGGTATGCGTCCAGTTTGCGTTCATTATAAGAAAGATAAAGCATAATGGATGCTCTTAACTCTTGGAACAAATTCAGTTAAATACTCAATCAAATTAAAATTTCGAATCCCCAATGTTCCAATTATAGAGTCTCCAGTATGTGCGTAAGAACAAGTTACACATAGTGTATTAACAATAAAGTTCCAAAGTAATTTTTGAGGTAAATGCTCTATAAGAGTCTAGTATGTAATGGGCAGTATTTTTGCCCACAGGTCGTAGTTTGTCGCGAGAGATACTACGGTGTACTTTCCCGGCTTCTGTTAAAGTGGTCGCAAGTGACGCGGTTTGGTTGATTCTCATCATGGAGAGGGATTCTCAGGGACTAAGGTCAGCCACCTATTTATAGAGTAGTGTAGCGGGCATATTAATAAAAAAAAAACAAGGTTGCATCCTTCATCTTCGATTTTTCAAATAGAATTTAGCGGTTTGTTAAATTTTGAAAGTACTGTTTCTCTTATTTCAAGCAGCACAGAAACTTTGAAAATGGTGGGATGAGGATACAGCAAAGTTTAATTTTCTTCAGCACTTTCAAAGCCTCTAGTCAATAAACTAAAATAACTCAAAAGTCAAGAATTTCTTAGTAACCTGAGTGCAGCTTAAATTAACCCAATTGACTTTGCTACGCTATTTGTTTTAAGATTTTGGAACTTTATTGTTTTTACATAACCAGTTGCTTGGACGATATACGATAAGAGAGGCATTATAACTTTGAAGTACAAAGCTTTGCATGACTCACCATTGTAATTGGTTATAATTCATAACCAATTAACAAATACGTATTACCTAGGACCATCACAACCTGATGAGGACGATTACGGATACGTCTCGCAAGAGGCTTCCGCTTTTTATAACCAGCTGATGAATAAATACAACAATCTACCTCCGGAGAAGCCATTATTTAGTGACAGTGGCAAAAGAACAGTGAAGGACATAGCATCTACAAAGGTCTGAATTCAGATCATATGAATACCTATTAATTGGAACATATTACATTAATAAGCAGTCGATATTTTATAAATAATTTTCATAACAGGACAGAGTAAAACAAGCATTGAAACAGAAGGAACTGGAAGACACTTTGGGTCATCGAAGAAAAAGGAAATCTTCCAGCTTAACTGAGAAGGAAACTGAGCCAGATGCGAAAGAGAAAGCATCAGGAGATAGAGATAGAGATAAGGAAAAAGAAAAAGAAAAGGACAAGGAGGAAAAACCAAAAGTAAAAAAACGTCCCCCAGCTCCGCCACCAATAGATTTCGTCCAGCTATTAAAACTCGCCGAAAAAAAGCAGCACGAGCCAATAGTGTTGGAACCGAAGCCAAAGCCAAAGGTAGAGGAACCCGAGAGACTCATGACAAAGAAACAAATGAAAGAATATTTAAAAGAAAAGGAATGGCGGGAGAGGAAGGAGCAACGGGAGAAAAATCCTGAAAGCGCAAAGATTCCAGCTACGGCAAAAGCGCCGCCACCACAAAGTGGGAGAATACCGAAACTATCGAACGGAAAGTCATCACCGGAAAAGACAGAGAGGCCCTTAACAAAAAGCACAACTACTTCCTCCGTGAGGAAGCAAGCGGATAAGGAAAAGTCATCAACGCTGTCTACATCGAACTCCAAGAGTTCGGAAAAGGATCTCATTCAAGAGGAAAGAAAGAAACTCGAGGCTGTGAAGAAGGAATTGGAAGAAATTAAAAGACGCATCGAGGAAGAGAATAAGAAGAAGCTCGAGTTGCAGAGTAAAATTAAAAAGTCTGATGCATCTGCGCCATCGGCAACTAAATCTGTCAGCAAAACAACAAAGAGTAGTGACAAGCCGATGAATTCGTCTAAGGACGTTAAACCAAGACAATTGCCTCCAGCAGACGTGAAACCAAGACCATTCCCTCCACAGGATATAAAGCGACAAGTTTCATCATCGCAGGACGTGAAACCTCGACACTTCCCACCGCAAGATGTCAAGCCAAAGTCGTTGCCAGCCAATGGAAAAACGCGACAATTTCCGCCTGGTGACATCAGGCCCGTCAAACGACCATTGTCGCACAAAGACGCACGAAGGGGTGGACCAGTGCACAAACGTAACTAATACAAATATTTTGATTAGATTTATCGACTTGTAATGTTATTCTGTGTTTGATTTTATTTTTTATTGATTTATAACAGGTCGCATTCATGACGACGAAGACGAGTACGATTCTGAACTCGATGACTTTATTGATGACGGACCGGAAGAAGGTGCTGAGGACTATAGTAAATATATTAGTGAGATATTTGGTTATGACAAGAGTAAATACAGAGATTACGAGGATGACGATGACGCCATGGAGAGTAATTTTGCTCAACAATTAAAGGAAGAATACGTATCCACGAAAATTGGTGAGTCTAAATCGCTTTTGAATGTTTCAAATAATATTGTAATTGTTAGGTTTCAATTCGACGTGACTTGTTTTATCTGTTCACAGGAATAATGGAAGACTTGGAGGATATTCGCATGGAAGCTCTCGAGAAGAAGCGAAAAGCTTTGCTTAAGAAGAAATCTAAAAAGTAGTGCGTGATAATCGCATATTATAGATGCGTGTAAGAATGAGAGAATGGAAGAGTGATGCAGCTGTGTGTATATATATATGTATATATACACGCTATGATAAACATTTATTACATAAATATATATTTATAAAAGCGCTTGAGTGATGAAATATTTTCATATTTATAAAAATTGTTCCAGAATACCGCGCGAGAAGACAATACATTATTAGCGCGCGGTTTTCGTAAAGTTTTGTTTCTCTAGATTCTTGTCTAACGCACGGCTTTTTTTTTAATACAATCGATAGAGCTTTGCAAGGGAGGGGGTAAATGAAGCAAGGTGGAGAAAAAGAAATTAGGCAAACGAAAAGTAACAGACTTTACATTTCAGACTGTGATTTGCCTTGAGAAGTTTTGCCGTATACCTCAGTTTTTGACACGGCCATTTTATTTTTTTTATTTTTTGTTTGTTTATCTTTTCTGCTTTATTTGGTTAAGCAGAAAAGATATTGTCATAAATAAATACCTTCAATGTTCATCATCGATCAGAGAAAGATACTGTATAACAGAACGGCTAAGGTTCGAATTTATTTTAGCTACTTATTTTCCTTTAAATAGAAATTTTTCAAACCTCTTGCTCCATTTGATTGATCTGATCTTAAAATTGCTTAATTTACGTTTTGCTTCTGTAAAATTACAAAGAAACTGCGACGAATAAAACACTGCCGCTTAAAATATTCTTCGTCGCCTCTAAGTCATTATTAATAATTAATGAAGGAATAGACATTGTAAATATGCGTGCAATAAGCCAACGTATAATTACCAATTAATTGTTAAGTGATTTCTTTAAAAAATCGACTTTCGTCTAGTGTTTTCAAACATGGCTGTTAATTCGATCAAGCTCATAAATTGTCGGTGAACATTGTTAGTGCTTGATACAAGTAATTCTATAACATGATTAATATTGTTCTTGAGATACGGTTTATATAAATACATTACTATAATATTTCTGCTTTTGTTTGCAATTTTACTATCTGTCATATAAATTCGCATCGACGCAATTATCCTTCGGAGTGTGCCTTGAACATCAGTTACATCTTTGTAATAACTGCAAAAAGTCATTAATTCGCACAAACGATATTACTCGAGCTTAACTCAACAGAGATGCCACTGTTGCTTTTTACAGTAAAAGAAGGAAAGAAAAAATTTAATAAGAAGATCCTGTAATTGACTACCTAGAATACAGAAAGCGAATAAATCGAATATGCTTAAAAATATAATATTCCTTATGACATTAAACAATCAAAGTGAGCATGAGGCAAAACAGAACAGTGGTCCCAAACATATCTTTATTTAACACATTGATATTTATATTTAACACCTAACAATATTCTGTGCGTTGTATTAACCCCGTTTCGGGTGGCAAATATTAAATCATAATTTATTAATATCAAAAAAGCTATATTCATCGTCCATTGATACAGACGATTCAGTGTAAAAAAAAACTGTTGTCAGAATGTTAATTTCTATGGTGCCAAAAATGCACGTTTCTTTCTCTCTTTCCAAAATCCGCCAGCACACCTGGAACACACATCAATTTTTACGCAGTATATTGAAACAACAGTGCAGATGGCGTGCGGGCAGGCACTAATCTCTTGTCACCGTGCTGCTCGATAACCACGTAATAATCCCTGCCGTTGATGACGTGCTTCTTGGCGTACTCCTGGTGCTCTGCCACTTTCTGATATTGAGGCGGAGGACTCCTTTTTAAAAATTCAGATGGCGGTGCCGCGGCATACATGGGAAGTGCGTGTATCGTTCTACCTAGACGATCATTCTTCTTCTTCTTCTTCTTTTTACATTTGCAAAGATACAAGAGCTCGACAAGGAAGGCGACTGCCGCCACGGTGAACCCGATGAAGACGACTTTATAAGTCATAGTCAGATCCGAGTTTCTCAATTGACGTTCCTTGGATCCCAAATTCAAAGGGCATATTTCTGTCCCAGGTAAATAAGCCGTTGTTATATATTTCACTATACCGGACTCCACCAACGCTAAGATACTGAAACAAACCGAGTGGGTGGTTTTAAAAATAATTTTTTTTTTTGGACGAGCAGGAAATTAATCTCAAAGATTTTACTGTTTGTCCATGACGACATTTATTAGGCTGCCCAAGGGATACGCAAAGGCTCTTCTCTTTAATAAAATGTGTCCTGGCATTATTACATATGTGCAGCGTTTACCTTCATCGATCCCCTTATGACTTTTGTCTATGTAATCATAAAAAATCAATCCTTGAACAAAATGTTTTTCACCCAGGAACATTTTATCTGGAATGGTACAAAGTAGTTTAATTAGGATACCTGCAGTGATATCTTAGGTAAGTATATTAAAGGGGTTTTGACATTCTTTTTTATTACTTTGATCAATGTGACGAATGACGGTTGAATATGATTTATTTCGTAGATCCACGAAATGACCTTTTCCTTTGCTGGTCGAAAGATTCAGTGGTTGCAACTCGTTACCCTGTTATGTAAGTGACAAATTTAATCTATAGAATCATTCTCGAAATAATCTTTATGATTAATGGGAAATCTCTTCATATCATTCTTCTAACCTCTGCCACTATCATATCCAATGCGAGACCTTTTTCTGCTACCCATACTTGACCTTTACTGGCTAAATCATCGACCGACTTGATCGGTAACGTAAACTGCGACAATGTCAAGAAGGCTGTGAGATTCGCAGTGTAGAATGACGTTAAAATTGTTATGAATATCCACCAGGTGGCAAACAGCAATCTGGCTGAGTCTGTTTTAATATGTTATTCAAACGAATGCGTGACTTGATTTTAAAAATTAATTACTTTCATAAAAAAAACGTTAATACCTGTTACTGGGGAGATTGTTGATCCTTGCTTAAGCAATGCACCATAAACAAACCACATACAAGTCGCTACGGAGTAACGTTCTGATTTTTCCTGTGAGATTTTCGATCTGTAATTAAATAATTTCAAATTATTATTACAATATTGTGTTTGTTTAGGTAACTTTTTTCTATAATACTGTCAGTCAACGAGCAAGGACCTTATGTAAATTAAAATATAAATTGTAGGTCCCACTATTATGACTGATATCAAAATCAGAATCCAGACTGTAGTGTCAAAAGGTGCCAAGAGCCCGGAACCTGTTGCTGATTCTTGAGGACGTTTCATGAGTATGGTCCATTCCATTTCATCTAAATAAGTACCGTATTTAACGGTGTTATGAGCTTCTGAGAGAACTGGTAAAAACGCCACGGCCATATCGACTTGCTAGAATTTCGCATATCAGCAATTAATTCAAGTAATTTTAATTAATTAATTGACCGGCACTTTTTACCTTTGTATAAAGTAATCCAAATACACCGGAACTTTCATCGCCCAATATATTTCTTTCTGGCAATATTATTTTATAGGTGAAATTTAATTTTGCTTGCATAAGATTGAAGATGTAAAATGCATGTCCAACGCCGACCAGACTACCGTTTACGAGCTTAGTGCCCGACAATGGCGGATCCTATAACCAACAATTGATTGTACCAGAAGAATTTTTTGTTTGACTCACTCCGCCTCGTAAACATAAAATACCAAAATGTGTCAAAAAAAAAAAACGAAATTTCAAATATCAATCAAACCTGTAACGTCGTTATTCGAAGTTCCGTAGGAAAATTATTTCTTGTCTCAGACAAATATGGCGCAACGGCAGAAAATACTTGATCGTCATAGCGGGATGGAATTTCTTTTTTGACTGCAAGAAAAAAAGGCCAATCAGTAATCGATAAAAGTTGAATAAATTTCAATATTTCAATCCAGAAAGATATTGAATATTTCAAGGCAAAAATAAAAATCCCCCTTCAATCACATCGATCGTCAGATCAATTTGATTCAATGATTAACTGTCATTGATTAAACAATTATCTAAATCTCTCTAGTGCCATCGTTTAATAATCCAATAACCATCGTAAAGTGCATGACTAACATAATAGACGTTACACTAACGATCTGTTATTGTTCTAGACATTTGAATTAATAGGTTATTATTTGATCGTTAATTCGTACCTTGGCTCGGCAGACAGCTGTTATTACTCGTAACATTTTGCAGAATCGAGCAAATCTCGATGAGCATCAATTCAAAGCCCGTCATTATCAATCCGGACTACATCCTATAAAATCCACAAGGTATAAACCACACCGAATAAAGTTTTTTCCACTATTTTTATATTTTCGAATTATTTTCCCTCCTTAAAAAACTTTTATCCGACAATTTAAACAGGAGTCTCCTTTTCCCGGGACCAGGTAGACAAACCGCTGTCCAAGTTGGAATCAATACTGATGGCCCGTGTCATACCCTTTTCTACACACCAAGAACTATCCTAACCTATATAGTATACTATAAGAATGGTGTGAGCACAACATAAATATGCATGTATATATACCTGTATCAGCATGAAGCCAGGGGCTCGAGCTTGAGCCATCATAATAATCGATTAGAATTGCTTCAGAAAGCTTCGCACGACTTAGTTCCAGCTGGCAAGGCTTATCATTATTTCTACGGTTCTAATTGCACTTGTGGAAATTATGAACACGCATTTGAATCTCCTAGTGGTGATTTATGGTAACGAACTTTCAATTTTAATGAATTCAATTGCACAGGGAAACACAGGTATTACGATAACGACGGTAGGTTTTATGATTTTTCAACGTTATTCAGTGAAGTATTAGGAAAGTCGTAACGTGAGATTAATTGGTGGTCATTAAAATTATTTATTTGATTTATTTCTATTCTGATCACGTATTTCCGCTTTATAAACTTTGAAATATTGAAGTATTAAAACGCTGTGGCTCGATGTGAGGTTATGGATGCGTTACGGATGTGCATTGTTTAATTATTCATGTAGAGTTGTAACAGCTCGATATGCATGACTATGAGCTAGCTTTAATTGCAGTTTTATGGTAGCGATGATAGAGTACTGAGCAGAGAGCATTTTTAAACTGGAGATAAATGCTCCCTTTAAACTGTGAACTTGTAGCTTGATTGATAACTATATTTCGTGTTTATCTATAACTGTCGTTATTATTTCACCTTATAAGTGAAGTATCGTTATTACCTTTTTTCATCTTTCTGCAATATTGATTGTAAGCGCATTCGTTAAATATATTAAGTAAACATTGAAAATGCTTGCTGTCGGCACACTTATCGATCATTCATGTTGCCAGTGAGTTAAGGTTTACGGTCACTTTCGAAGGAAATGCCATGTTTCGTATAGAGGAGGTGTTAAGGGAGAACATAACGATAATAAAAGAAATTCATTATAGCGCGTTTCCCCTTTGAGTCCCTTCAACGTATGAAAGATAAATCCAATAACTCGCGCCTCTCTTTACCGTTACCTCGTGCTAGTGGCTCCATCTAGCTTCGATAACTTCAAAGCGCCAAGAGGTGGCAGCGCCAGCGACATTTCATATGATACAACTCATAGAATCCTTGGTCTGGATACTTGACATGCTCGTATATTTTATGTCTCATGATCCTGATATGTAGAATATATATCTGTATATAGCATTTGAATAGGTAAAGCTTATTTAGTAGGGGTTCCCTCACTCAAACTTACGTGACCCAATATCCCATAAGATGTCCAATTACCATTCCAGTCAAATATAAAGGTTGGAAAGACATAAAAGTCGGTATAGTAGCCGTTGGTGGCATGATCTCGGTAGTACCGATTTGTGCTACTGGCGGCGCAGATGTTCCAATGTACACAGCTCATAATTAATTGCAAAATTGGGAAACAAGAATCGAAGAAATCTGTACAGCGCCCTGTAATTTCGTAACAACTAAAAGACCCACAATCTTTTCCACGTAAATTATGAGGAAAGTTTAACACTAGAAGTACAACAGTGCATAAAGTTTGACACGGAGAAATTGATTGGGTTCATAACACTATTTGTTTGCGATCATTTTTATTGAGTTTATCATAATGATTTCAATCGATACAATGAGTTTCGTAGTCATAACTGTCGTGCGCCGCGACGCCAAGGAACGTAAGTATCCGCCGGGCGAAGTTATCGTATCCAATATATTTAAATGAATACAAACACGTAACACCAAGCACGCCAAGATGACCGAGAAATAACGCGTGACTCATGAACAAGAGAAACAAAAATCTAACCCCAAAGAAGTAAGTCAAAAGTAGTGACAATCCAAAAGAAACAGTCTAAGTTCGTGTAACAAAATTTTCGCCCTCACGGCAATCGCGTCGCCGACAGTCCAAGCAAAATTCCGATATCGCCTGATCTCTCTGCAACGTGCTTGCAATAATCGATCAAATAAAAATAATAAATGCGCGCACGTTGCAGGAACGCGTAGCGTGCGAAAAATAATCGCAGACTGGCGTTACGTCTTTTCGTTCTTTCCTTGCCGTAACAAGAAGTCTGTTACGTGAACGAATACCTATCCAAAAGGATGCGTAATGAGTGATTGTAGGATGGGAAAACAAGAAACTGGGATTGAAAAAGGGGGGAAAACATTGTAAGGGAACAATATGAATATAATACTTTTAATACGCGTTTATCCATAAATGTTGAACCTTCTCATTCTTACAGTCCTCTCTCACTCACTCTCTCCCTGCCTCTCTCTCTCACACACACACGCATTACCCCTCATTCTCAACATATTATCTCGTTTTTTTCGTATTTTTTCTTTCTTTTTTTTTTTAATTAAATGTTAGGTAGTGCCCGGGCGATATACCCAGGCAATGCTTTAAGCTTCGCCCGGGTTACACCCTTTCTTCGTATACTAGCTGTGCCGAACGCACTTGTACTGGTCGCCATGGGCCGCAACGACTCGGCCAAACGGATTCTTCGCGGATTTTCGAAATAAAAATCGCTGAGGCGTCGCCACAGTCGGATTCTCATGAGCCTTAGACTTCCCGGTGGACACTTCATCAATATTCCTTTTGCTTTTATTTGACGTCTGATCGATTCCGCGAGGATCCGATCAGCCGATTGGATCCGCCTGCGACATATTTATTTAACAACAGTGTTTATCCCCCTAATTGTCCGTAGGACATCGACTCTTCGTATCTTCGATCTTTTATCGTCCGGATTCTTGCACGTGTTACTTGCTTCATTTTTTGTCTCTTCTTAATCCATCGAGTCCAAAACCCTCCGCGCTTTTCCCGTTTATACAATGTAAATGAATATTCCCAACTCTTACGTTCTTTAGGTTATCCTTCTAGTTTCTCCTCGATCGTCGCAAACGTATAATAATTAGTCAAAATCAATAACTCAATCGATCTCGTGATATAATTTCGAACCGATGGACAAATTGGAGGATACGAAAGAAAAGGTAGTGGCGTCATAGACACTCCCATCCCCTCTTTCGGTACGACTAATAAAATTGAGATGAAAAAAAAAAGATAAAGAAAGGTAAAAGCATAATACGAGGCGATAATAATAATAATATATCATGTAATAATAATAATAATTAATTAATTAATATAATTAATAATCACATAGTAATAATAATAGCAATAGCAATAATAATCGTATCTAATATATATATATAATAAATGATGTCCTTAGCCGTTACAGTTGCCTAGAGACTATTTTTTATCCGCATCATTTTTTTTACTTTTCATTTCTCTTTTATACCTCTAATATGTATAGCTACAATATATAATATTTTCATGTTGAAAAATCGTATACATCAGTGTTGTGTTGTGTAGCAGGGCCATTGCTTCGATTATTTGTTCCTTTATCTTTCGCCTTTTTCTTTTTTTTTTTTTAAATTAACCGCCATTTTCACTCACGTCGCGCATGTACACATCACGCGTCGCTCTCGTACGTCTCGGCTTTATCCCGCGTTCCTAATCTTTTATTGTTATCGTTTATCTCTCATATAGTTCTCGAGGAGGGGACGAAAGGATTCTGGAAAGGAATCGAAAAGGAAATCCTTATACCGGATAGGATATATATTTTCGTTCCACGGGATTAGGATAATACCTGATATTGAGGAGGTTAGGCTCGCGTCAATACCGGGAGTGTGTCTTATTCTGAGGTTTTCAGGCGCAGGTACGCCAACATTAAGAGTGCCAGTGACTCGATAATAATTTTTCAAATTGATTTTGCGTATACAGTGACGACTGTCGGGAGAAAAGAAAATGTTACAACTTTTTTACGACGCGGGACACGAACATGTCTCTTATGGCCGAAGAGATGGCTCATGGGTAACTACAGTGGCGCCACTCCCGGACTCGAGACGAGTTAAAGGTGAGTTTAATTTTCATTATACCGATTTTTAATTTCGTATTACTGGCCGCCACGTTATACCTCTTTCTTCTTCTTCTTCCTCTCTTAAGTATTCTCGTGGCGACGAGTATTCGGGATCACAGATAGTGAGGTGATCGGATTTACGATATACATATATAATAACTTTCTAGCATTCTCTTTCTCTCTTCGTATTGCGACGTCAATCTCCGGTTTAGTTTCGTGTTTTTTTTTCTTTTTTCGTTTTCGCATTAATTCTTAATCCTGTTTCATTTGTAAACTCGTGGCTATTAATTTTTTTCGTATTTCTGTTTTTTTTTCTCGCAATTGCGTCACGAAATTTCGCTCAAGAAGCTTCTCGCGTCTTCTAAGGATTTCACGGCGACAGCTCCTGAAAGCAAACAGCATATCCGCCACATGTACGCGCGTCCTTAGCGGTCAGGCCGTCTTCCCTGTTTTTTTTTTACTCTTTTGTCTATTCGTCTCACTTGCCATCATTGTGATCGCAGAAAGTTTCGTGACTTTCGCTCGTTATGTATATTTTCTTTTTGATACGTCACCAAAAACAATACAACGTACACGCATTCACTGGCATTCGCGTGGTCACGCACGCGTGCATATACATATATCTATATATATATATATATATACACACATAAATATATACCGGGTTTTTCAGCCCACATGCACCACCCGAATATAGTTTTTAACTGTAAAAATGAAATGAGCGCACTAATATAAAATAGTGCACGAATAATCCGGCATATATATACACGTATACATGGGTTCATATGAATGCACGCGTGTACAACAAATTTTTTGTCTTTAACAATTATTTCAGCATCTTCATTAAACGGGAAATTTTGGAAAGGCGCATCGTGACGAGCGCCAAGATGAAGAATGAAATAAATGAGGCAGAATAAGAATAGAAAGATAATACGTGAAAAAAAAAGGGGTAATAGGTACAATAGATAAACGAAAATAAAGCCTTGGACCACGAAAGATGCGAGTGCTCGTGTAGTTGGAGATTCATGTACATACATATACATAACATATGAAAATACGTGTCTGTCTAAATACGTTCCAAGACCGAAGATATGCAATAATTTAAAAATATATATATATAACAGTAGCGTAACAGGCGTTGTCGAGAGGATGGTAATTAAAACAATAAAAACGTAAAATTCACGAAATAAACAAAAAAAAAAGTTTAATTACGTAAAAAGATGTTTCATTGCCGGTTTACAATTTAAAAAATTATATATATATATATACGTGTATATATAATATGTGTATATAGATCGGTGGGAGGCAGGGGAGGGCGGATAAGGAAGGAAGGGATAAGCTTGAAATTGGAAGCGGACGGGAATTTTTCTTTTTTTTTTTCCTTCTTGTTTTTGGATTCACGGATTATTTCGCTCTCTACAATCATGCACACAATTTTTCAAAAAAAAAAAAAAAAAAAAAAAAAAA